CTAAAGTCAGTCCTTGATTACAGTGTGCATTCTTCAGTTGTTTACTATGATTACTTACTGTATGTGTGGGATTGGAATCTTTTCGTCTGGCATCTCCCCGGAGGCATATTTATGTATTTTTTGAAAATGTTGCTCCTTTCATTTTTCTCTTTGACTGGAGGCCCTGTCAAGAATACAGTGGGGGTTGATCAGCCATGGGGCATGCTGAGGTGGAATATATTTTTCCAAACAGCCCACTAGCTCCGAGTCTGTATGTACCTCAAGTGTTTTTATAATGCTTAATAGACTACAGTACACAGATGGGTGTGTTCTATGACATTCTTAGAGTGTTCATTTTTTCCCAAAATGAGTATTAGACTGTATACAGCAATGTTAGTATAAAAGATTTTTTTTTAAATACAGTAAGTATGACAACAGTAGATAAATAAAAATAGTCTGCCGGTAGTAACACTGATGTTACTGGCAGTAGAACTTACTGAAGATGGCAACTGAATATGAAAAGAAAGACTACATTCGAGCCTTATGCCCACATGCAGTAAATACAGTTAAATCATATACCTCTGAATGCTGAAAAGGCAGCATTTATACTGCTGACCCTCCAGGTACAGGCTACGTTTAGCTGTCAAGGGATATGCATCAATTAACAAGTATTTTTAAATCAGAACGCAAACACTTTTAAACAAATTTACACAGCATAATAAAGCAAGAAAAACTTTGAAAAGTATGTAATAATCATCTATCAACTTGGTCAGATTGCATTATTGGGCACACCTCTCAGTTGATGGAGTTTCTTCAACCACACCACACTGCATCCCTCACACACACACTACACCCCAAACACCACACTGCACCCCAAACACACAGTGCACCACACACACACTGCACCCCAAACACCACAAAGCACCTCTCACACACAGCCCCTTTTACACACACACAGCACCTCTCACACACTAGATCCCCTACACACACAATAGATACCCTATAGGCACACACTGCATCACCTACACACACTACATTACTAGAACTAGGTTCTGCACACACTAGATCCCCTACATACACAATAGATACCCTATAGGCACACACTGCATCACCTACACACACTACATTAATGACAAACACTCTGGATCCCCTGTAAGCAAACACACTACTTTCCCTAAACACACACAGTTTACAACCCCTACACACACTACATCATCTATACACATATACACTACAGACCCTATGCACACACTCGCTACATCACCTATACTCACACTCTCTACAGCCCCTAGCCATACATATTACACCACAAACACAACACAACTGAAACCGACATTTACACAAAACACTACACCACAATCAACTCTCTCTACACACACTCAATCCCACAAGCAGGCTCTAAACACATGTACAATACTTACACTTTTGTCCTTTGTTATCCCACTTATGGAGACACCGGAGACATGTCACAAGCAAACACAGTGCAAGCATGTTAATAAATTCGCTTGCGAATTGAACAAATATAGGGCTTTTTTTTCATGCAAGTTCTCTTGAGCAGGGCACTGCACATTGAACCAACATGCTCACTTTGAGAGGGGGCATGCTTGTCATTGGTGAGGACAAAAACACCCCCCTCTCTGGCCTGCCCCCTTCTCAGTGGGCCCCTGTGATTCAAAATGTCTGGGCCGAACTTTTTCCCAGTCTGGCCCTGAGCAACAGGATAAGAAACCCGACACGGGAGCCTGCTATGCGTGACTCAAATTGGTAAGACTTTGTCTCTTCTTTCCCTACCAGGATGTTGCAAGGTGAAGAGTTTTTTCAAATGCACATGTATAAACCTGGAAGGCATTCCCAATGCACTTTTCCCACCATACTTAGGGAGACTGAGTAGTTGGATCAGTGTCCCCCTGGAGTGGGTGTGAAAAGCAAGTACATATGGATATGAAAAAAATATTTTCCTGCTTTTTCAGCCTGGAGAGTGAAGCAACTGTCTTGTTCAAAGCTAAAAGTTTTGAACGAGACTGTTGTCTCAAAATGATGCATATTTTAAACACACTGCCATGCCCTGTGCTATGCTTTGGTATAAACATAGAAACATAAAAACATAGAATGTGACGGCAGATAAGAACCATTTGGCCCATCTAGTATAGCCAATTTTCTTTATTTAGTCCCTGGCCCTTTGACCCTTTTGCACTTAGGGCTGCAATGTAAAACATTGCCGTTTCAGAGAACTGCAATGTTTACATTGCAGCTCTAAGTCTGCCCTCTGTGACTGTCTAACAGACAGCCACTAGAGGGCTTCCGGAATCCAAACAGACCTCTGGTCGGTTATCTAATGCTGGGCATCCTCACGGACCACCAGCGTCAGATTTTCCCCATAGGAAAGCATTGAATAATGCTTTCCTATCGGGAGGTCTAATGTGCAGATGCGGCCATTGCCGCGCATGCACGGTAGGTCTTCCCCGCCGGCTGACGTCGACAGTGAGGAGCATGGGCGGAGCCTGACCCAGCACACTCGGTACAGAATTCAGGTAAGTAGCTGAAGGGGTTTCAACCCCTTTAGCAACATGGGATGGGGGAGGGCGGGAGAGGGACACTGCAGGATTTTCTAGTGCCAGGAAAACGGGTTTGTTTTCCTGGCACTGGAGAGTTCCTTTAATTCTAGGATAGCCTTATGCCTATCCCACGCATGCTTTAACTCCCTCACTGTGTTAACCTCTACCACTTCAGCTGGAAGGCTATTCCATACGTCCACTACCCTCTCAGTAAAGTAATACTTCCTGATATTTTTAAACATTTGCCCCTCTAATTTAAGACTTTTTTTGGTAGTTTTTCTTCTTTTAAAAATTATGCCGCGCCGCGGGTTGGGGCTCGGGAGGGGGGGCCCTATTTTTTATTTTATTTTTTAATCAGTGAGCAGCCACAGGCTGCTCACTGTTTACTAAACATGCCCCTACTCACAGTATAGCGAGTAGGGGCAATATTTACTAATACTAAGTAATTTTTACTTAGTATTAGTAAATTTGGCTGAAAGACCAATTAAAGTCTTTCAGCTTTTTGGTAGATAACTCCCTAATACCGTGGGAATTAGGGAGTTATCTACTAAGCAGCTGCAATAGAAGTCCGAAGTCCCGAAGTGTTGAAGTGCCGATTTGCGAAAATCCTGAATTTCGGAATGCCGAACCGAACATTTTCCCCATGCACATGTCTAATCTTTAGTGTCACTGCCTTGTTCTCTCAAGTTGCTCAAATACTATTTTGGAATTTGTGTGCTGGTGGCAACTACAAACTTTGAAGCTTAGGGAATATGTTGTAGTATATCAGTAGTGGTCATTAAGGAACTCCAACTCTATCTGTACAGAATTACCATTGGATTCTGATTACTCATTGGCTGCATTTTGAAAGTGAGTATGTGTGGATTATCCTACACCCAATGCTCCCTATCTATAATGGCCATGCGTGTTGATTAGAATTGATACTGGTAATGCATAAGTGAAAATTAGCTATTATGAAGTTTGCTAAAGTGTGGGCTATGAAATATATCTTCCACAAATTATATTCTGTTTTTTTTACACTGGACATTTGTATCACTTGCTGTTTTCTTCAGTTTACCTTCATCAGTCTCAATGCAGCTCATACCACCATATTTGTACAATTTTGCATTGGATTTAAACTACACCACACACACATTTTTTCAGGATAAAGGTTTGTTTCGGTGCATTAAAGACCCTTAACATGTTTGTTATGCTTGCTGTAAAACTTTATCCAGGATTCTAATTGCAGCGGACCACTGGTAGCCTGACTGGTTACCTCTGCTAATTCCTTCTCTCAGCCAGACTGGAACCATTAACCCCTTAAGGACACATGACATGTGTGACATGTCATGATTCCCTTTTATTCCAGAAGTTTAGTCCTTAAGGGGTTAAAACATACAGACATCCATTTCCCCAATAATCAGACGAAACATAGTTCTGGGAGTCAACCAATCTATTTCAGGGTCCTCTGTGCCTGAGAGATAATTGCGTGCGAAAAACTATAACAATTATCTCTCAGTTACAGAAAAACATACATGAAATATATAGTACCCCAAAAGTGCCCCCATCAGAACTAGGAACCCCACAAAAGTTATATATGGATAGCCCTGGTCTGAGTGTATAACATGTCCAAATATCACTCAGATCGGTTCCGTGGAATTTGATTGCCATCGGGGTAAAGTTTTGCCTGGCCGAACATGAGGGGATAGCCCAAAACCGTTCCAGGCCGGTCTCTGTTCAGGGGTTCCTGTGCGAAAACCATGCAAGGGATTATTTTGATTTTTGTGTACGAATGTCCCCCCCAGTCGGTAATTCAAATCTCCCGAACGTCATTCTCATAGTTGGTCGGGAAATAAAATGGGTAGCAGTATAACCTTTACCAGAGTTTGTGCGAGTGCCTAGCCGAAAAGAGTTCCAGGCACTAGGTGACCAAGTTTATTCAGGAGATAAAACAACCGCCACTCTTTTGCCGACCACGTGCATTTGGTTATACAAAATGGCGGCCACCCAGAGGAGCATTAATTAGTTACTTCCCTTGTGGATTCGCACTTAAATTACAAGGTGTGAACGTTCTAATGGAGTACCAGGGTGGTCATTGTTTGGATACTATAACTCCCGAACGGACAAAAAGGGAAACACAAACTAGGCGGTATATTCCGCCACACTAATGAACACAGGTATTCCGGTTTAATTGCAAATAGAAGCATCTGATCAAACAGATATTTACTAAAAGCACCACCCAGTGACTGACAAATAGACTCATTATATATGAATATATATATAATGAATAACATATAATGAATGCTGTTACTTCGGGAAATATCCCTGTCAGGCTTTGCAGAAAAGAGTTTTGAAAGGTTTGAAACACACTTAAAACAGTTCTGCATGATAGCCAACTTTGAATAGTGGTATATCTAGCAAGCTACTTCAAAAATAATTTGTTTTAAACAAATGAGATTAAAGAAAAAACCCAGTCACAAATTGCCGGTAAGCATTGGGTTTTTAATATCACAATTATAACAAAAAGTGAAAAAATAACATATGTACATTTCCATTACAATACAAAAAAATGGTCAAAACCTTTGTACTATAAATCACTGGTAACAGAAATGACCATGAACAAAATATTACGCACACCATCAAGAATAAGACCATTAAAAAGAAACTGTCATGCCTTGCAATTTACCCCATTAAACAAAACATAAAAAAAAAAAATCACAGATAACTTGGGGTAATTTTTCTCATAATTTACATCATTATCCAGCTCAGACAATGCAAAGCCAGGGTAAACATTAATTGACAGAGAACAAAGATACAGAGGTGTGAATTTCTACATTGATTTTTCACACCTCACAAATACACATTTCTTAAAGGACCACTATAGTGCCAGGAAAACATACTCGTTTTCCTGGCACTATAGTGCCCTGAGGGTGCCCCCACCCTCAGGGTCCCCCACCCGCCCGTCTCTGGAAGGGGGAAAAGGGTTTAAACTTACCTTTTTCCAGCGCTGGGCGGAGAGCTCTCCTCCTTCTCTCCTCCTCCGTTCCGCCCCGTCGGCTGAATGCGCACGCGCGGCATTCATAATGCTTTCCTATGGACGCTGGTGTGCTCTCACTGTGAAAATCACAGTGAGAAGCACGCAAGTGCCTCTAGTGGCTGTCAATGAGACAGCCACTAGAGGCTTTGGGGGAAGGCTTAACCCATTCATAAACATAGCAGTTTCTCTGAAACTGCTATGTTTATAAAAAAAAAATGGGTTAACCCTAGAAGGACCTGGTACCCAGACCACTTCATTAAGCTGAAGTGGTCTGGGTGCCTAGAGTGGTCCTTTAAATGTAGGGATAAATGAACAGAATATTGAAAAAGCTTGGAAATGACAGTCCCCCTTTTAATGTAACACGTGTCATACTGACAATAACAGGATTAATCATTAAACTGGAATTTGTTAAGTAACATCAAAATGGCTATTTACATTTAAAGCCAAAATAATAAATTGGGAAAAAAATAAATAGTTAAAGATTCTTTCCAATCCAGGTAGTCTGGTCTAATATTCACATTTGTTGCAAATTTTCCCAATCCTAATACAATTTTAAAAAAAATAGAATATTATCAAATTTCCTTTTTATTGGGGCATTTTCAGTAAAAGAGTAAAAAAAAGATATTTCAAACACACATGTATTGGGGCTTGAGATAATGCCACACAGCAGTTTTATGGTTTTTTTTTTGTTTTTTTTACAATTTTAAGTCTTTATATACCCAATAACAAAAAATGCACTAATGTAAAAATAGAAAATCAATGTATTTTGATTCAAAATGTTCCTATCAGAAAAAAAAAATCCTCCTAAAACAGACAAGAATGAAACGAATCCTTCCCGTAGTTTATTTAAGGAACTGCTATGCAGAAGCAGAAATACCAAACTCCTCTAACATAACCCTTTAGTGTCACTGTAGAGAGACAAAGCGTAAATTTTTTTTTATTATTATTTTTTTTTAAAGGTTGAAGCTTTGAGGACCTGAATTTGCACATGCTCCGTTAAGAAAACAGTTGCAGCAAACATTCCATAGACATTACTTGTGGGATAGAGCGTAGACGTGTTATAGTATAGTATGTAAACATGGATCCACTCACTGGCCAATGTGCTACAACATAGAATAAAATGCATCTTCGAATATCTAATGGACCACAATTTGCTTACCCCCATGATTTGAACATTCCTGCTTGAATAATATGGACAAGTTAATTTCTAGAACCCTTGGTCCATGTGTAAAGTGACCAAGTGATCACTCACTATAAAAATTAATCTATTTCAAACTGATAACGTCTGTCGATATCTTGTATGTTGCAGAGTTTGGTTCGAGGAGGGAGGGAGAAAACGTTTCTCTTTCTTATCTTCCAACCTTCCTGTCTTAGCTCATGGATGACTACTGTTAGATATGTCAAACTACTAACCTGCTCTCAGAGCATTCTGGGCGTGTAACCAGCAATCATAGCAGTTCATATTTAGATGTATATTGAAAGAATCGGATAGGGGCTCTGCTGGTACCTGGATAACGTTGATGAATATTTAACCCCTTAAAGACCAAACATCTGGATTAAAAGTGAATCATGACATGTCACACATGTCATGTGTCCTTAAGGGGTTAAGCAGGAGCTGAATTCACACTCAATGTGTCGCTATAGGAATTTTTGACACCAACATTAACATGTATATGTACTTCTAGAAAAGCCAATGGATGCACTTGTGGCCGTACTCTTTATAAGTGCACCAATGATATAATATACACCTTTAGAGACAATGGGCACAATCACATACCGTGCAAAACTTCATGGATTTAAATTATTTGCATATTTTAACAGATGAAGGTTTTTTTGTTGTGTTTTTTTTAATCGTCTTTTGTTTAGTTTTTTGCAAAATTGAGAGATTTAAAAGATATAAAAGTATTGCTTACAGAAAATGTGTAAAAAAGTACAAATATGGAGTAATAACCATGGAACCTTATAGAATCAACAGGAAGATTCTGCTGGCTTCAATGGGGATTTCTCCATTTTTAGATCAGCATCACTTTTTAAATAATGTTATTTTAGATAACTCTCTTTGGTTACTTCAGGAACATGAAGAAAAAGGATTAATGTATAGGAAAGTATACATGCCAGGCTAATAAAATACACATAGTTTTGTATGGTTATTACAATAGTTTTTTTTTTTTGTTTGTTTTTTTAAATAAGTTCCCTTTTAGGCCATAAATGAGCATCTGTGTACTCATGTGTAACATACATTGTGTTACTATAGTAAGTAGGGTTGTGTTCAGAGCTGGGGAAATATAGCACCCTGACTGAAAAAATTTAGGCCACAGTGGAAACTTGGAAAAGATGACGATTTTGTACAATGCAGCAAATTTGGCACAAATTGCTCAACTTTGTTACCACAAAACACTGTATAAGGAACAATCTGGAACTACACTTTGTACATTTAGCTGATCTTTTAGAGTTGTATTTCCCATCTATTTGGGGTTGTTTTTTTTTTTTTTTATAATTTTTTAAAAATAATTTAGGAAGGAAATGGATTAGAGGCTGTTAGTCATAATACTGACACTCAGACACATAATGTAGTTAAGGTTTCTCCCAGAGGCTGGTAAGATGCCAACTTCAGACAAGTTCATATTTTGTTATAAAAAAAAAAAAGGTTTATAGTTTCCTTATAATATATATCAAAATTATGATTGAAGCCACCAATATTTTTTTGTAGAGATGATATTGCACATGAGTGTTCCCTGCATTATATTGTGTTTGTAGAAATTGTCAAACTCAGACTAACCTTGGCTGCAAGTTAACTTGGTAACTATGGCATAACAGTAGAAAGAGACCACGAAAGTGAGACTAAATGGATGAAACCTTCGCTTATATGTCATGCATATCTTCCATACAATATAGTGTTCCAAGACTATACATCCAAGGAAAAGATTATACACACAACATTGTTCATAAATTTAGTTCTGCCTTTTTCTTGGACTCTTTCACAATTCAATATGCTGAAAAGAAGAAGATATTAAAAAGAGCAGCAAAAATCAGAAAGGCAACATAAGCCGCAATACAAATCCAGAATCTGGGGTCTTTGATTAAGTTTTTGTCAAAGCAGGTGAATACGGTGTAACCAATAGACATTCCAGCCATGGCTCCTGCAAAGTGAGCAACGAAAGAGACCTAGAAATGAAAATATAGGTCACATTAGAAAACACGGTAAAGCAGCAGTACTCCAATCTTCTAACGAAGATGACTTTCAAATCAACTAGGAGGTTTGTATTTCATCAGAGCAGGAATAACTGTAAGTCGAGCCTTGGCAACTGCCTAGCCTAGGGCTCAAGAGTTAGTCAGGAGCCCAGAACTAGGAATTTACTGGCCCCATTTACCAGACTGACCTGTAATTGAATGAAAGGGGGGGACTGAAAACATGCCTAGGACCATGTGAGATCTTAATCATTTTCTAAATTTCATTTTGAATTATAGAATGAAGACATACAAGGATGATATTTTTAGTCATGATCGGTCTCCTAATGTAGTATGTTTCTTTGTATTTACCATGTACAGTAAATGTGCAAATGTTTTGCTTTGTCTGAATGAAATTCAGCAGAAGGCATTAAAATATAGTTGATTTATAGGAAGCAAATATGACACACCATGCTTATCAACCCAAATAAGTTATATACATTACTCTGTTAGCATCTTAACTAAATTGTGTTCATTTTTGTGGTTTGCAATTTTAATAAAATATGTTAATTGTATATTAAGAGATGTTAAACTATAAACTGCATTTCTATTAAATACCGGCAGTCACTCCAGCAACATCACAGCTGACATATTTCTGCCCACCGCTTATAGGATTTGCCCTGCCAAACTGACACATAAGGTGCCCCCTGCAGTATGACACCTACACAATGGCTTCATTGTCAGAGCATAAGCATGTGAATGGAGAGATGTCTGTAACTCAATTCTAATATTATTCTGGCACAAAGCAACATGTTTAGTCGGTCTCATACACTTTGACTCATAACAGCAATTACAGTGCGCTGAATACCAGTGCTATTGATATTAACCAATCTGATAGAATATTTCATACCAGAACCCTCAATTTTATATCAAAACAAAAATATCAATGCAATGCTTGCTACCACTATCTTTTCTCAACCTTTGGTACTAGCAACATAATGTGCATTACTAGGGAATCTGTTGTCCACTGACAAATCCACCATAATAATTATAGCTTTACATTAGCAAGTTATAATTGATTAACATCAACTAGACATAGCTAATAAAGGGATATTTTAGACCAAAGTCCCTTTATAGAATGCCTTTGAAAAGGGCTTTTTCACCTCTGCTCCTCAGATGTTTGTTGCAAAGTAAAAATTTAACAGGCCAATATAGCAAATTCTTAAATTTATCTATAGTGTATAATTTAGTCTCAAATGTGCCAGTATGGAGTTTAGGAAACAACACTATAAATTGTGCGTGTTGGTTACCCACTCAGTACACTTCACTTTTTAGTGAATAAACCCCTACATGTTTACTCTTTCAAGCTTACATTTACAAAAGCAAATAAATCAGACTGACCTGTAATTCAGTATCATGGACAATGTATCTTCTGTAAAGGGCAAATCCTACATCTGTTCCAACTGTACAAAAGGAAATTCAAGAGTAACATTACTGTCAGCAACTGAAAAGTTTGCAGTATTAGAACCCATGTCATGGTCAGACAGTATTAGTTATCCGTATCAGAGATTACAGCGCTAGAACCAGGGTCATGGTCAGACAGTATTCGTTATCCATATCAGAGATTACAGTGCTAGAACCAACCCTTGTCATGGTCAGACAGTATTCGTTATCCGTATCAGAGATTACAGCGCTAGAACCAGGGTCATGGTCAGACAGTATTCGTTATCCATATCAGAGATTACAGTGCTAGAACCAACCCTTGTCATGGTCAGACAGTATTAGTTATTATCAGGATCAGAGATTACAGTGTTAGGACACCTGTCATGGACAGACAATACTTCTGATCTGTTACAACAATATGAAAATGTCACTATGACTTCAAGAGGCAACAGTAACAAAGGATGTGGCGCACATTATTATTTCGGTTTTTTTCTGCATGGCATACATATTATAAAACTGTGCAAAAGAAACTAATGTTAAAATGAGGCATTGGAGAATTTGATTCATACACTAAAAACATACCTATTAGTACAATCAATAAAATTCGAAATATCCCAAATAGCGGCACCATACTTCCGAAATTCTAGAAAGAAAATGGAAACAGTTTACATTTTACTCAGTACAGTTTTACTTGTAAGTGTAAATGTGTTTTAACTCAATATATGGATGTGCAAATGTCAATCAGATTATAACTAATTTTATATAAGTAAGCTATAGTTAAGTTTAGCTGGAATTGAACCTTTATGACTTGTCATTGTTTCATTGTAAAGGCATCCATCTGAAGAGTGTTTTTTCCTGATAGAAACCCTTGCTGAGAGAATGTGATGTTAAGAGTAGAGTTGAGTGGACACCTGGATGTTCGGGTCCGGCAGAACTTTGAAAAAAAGTCCGGGTTCTTGCTCGAACTTGACCCTGAACCCAAACCCCATTGAAGTCAAAAATCTCCTGGAAAGGGCTAGAGGGCTGCAAAAGCAAGTAAAACGGGGGTAAGAGTAGGACAAGTGTCCTGCAAACAAACGTGGATAGGGAAATCACTTACAATAACATAAAAATTTAAAATACAGCCGAGCCATAAAATAGCACTAGATGGAATCTTTGATTTTAGCTTAAGAAGAACATAAATCAAAATCTAAAGCATGGCTGTCAGGATGATAACCAGAATTATCCATTTGAGAGAGGGTTGGAGTCCAGGGTATTCTCTTTCATTGTTCAAACTGAGCTCAACTCCTGATGCATGGAGAAAAGGCATTCACAAGCCTCTGCTATTGTGTACATAGTTTATACTAAGTGACCCATAGGTTGAGGAGGCAGTGACCGTGGCGGTGTAGGTGGAAGCGCGGCGGTGGAGGAGGTACCCAGCACTGTTTTTTTTATATATATATATATTTTTTTTTTTTTTTTTTTTATTGGGGTAGCCCCAAAAATATTGGGACATTTAAAAAAAGAAGCATTTGCAGCCTGCAGTGCATTTCTTGCAGTCCTGATGCATGGAGAAATGCTCAACTCCTGATGCATGGAGAAAAGGCATTCACAAGCTTCTGCTATTGTGTACATAGTTTATACTAATTGACCCATAGGTTTTTTAATTGGGGTATCCCCCAAAATATTGGGACATAGTAGCAGAGTAGCTGTTGACATTATAGTTGCGCAGGCACTTTGTTGACTCTAGAGAACCTCGAGCCAATCGCACATCCACGTGACGGCGACTTTGCATTCGGATGTCATCCATATCAATGTTCGATGCCGGTTTCTGCGCCTACCATGGTGACCACGGGTAACGGGGAATCAGGGTTGGATTACGGAGAGGGAATCTGAGAAACGGCTACCGCATGCAAGGAAGGCAGCAGGTGCGCAAATGACCCACTCCCGACGCGGGAAGGTAGTGACGTCAAATAACAATACAGGACTCTTTAGAGACCCTGTAATTGTAATGAGTCCACTTGAATTCCTTTAACTCTGATCAACTACAGCTGAAACTCCACTATCGCCTGCTGCTGCTCGCAGTCTCTCCAGCATGTGCAAGGTGGCCTTGTGGGCACGTCGCATATGAAGTGGTGAGCGGGAAGGCCGAAGATATGCTGCAACGCAGACAGGCGAGCAGCAGCAGGGTGAGACGCAGAAAGTGCGCACAGACGCTACAGTGAATGTCACATCCTGTTCCAAGTTGCGGATCAGTCTAGTGATGGCTTCTGGTATCCAGTACTCTTTTTACTGAAGCTGCATCAGGGTTCTGGTATGTGGCCGCACAAACGCTGGTGCTCAACACCAGGGGGCGTGCGGTTACCCTGCACCAGACCCTGCTAATCCATTCCACACTGTGACTCCTAACTTCAACATCAGGCATACTGGGTCCCGGCCATCCGACTGCCGCCCAGACAGTGTCTGGGTCCCGGTCACCAGACTGCCCACCTGACTGTGAAACTACGAATGGATCGTTAAATGTGGTACGAACCCGAACTTTGCAGTTTGGGTTCGCTCAACTTTATTATGGATCCTTTGATCGCTACATGTATTACTTGGATAACTGGTAATTCTCGAGCCAATACATGCCGACGACCGCTTTTGCACCTTGCTCCCTCTTATACTGTGCTGGTGCCCCTGTGCGACCAGTGCCTCTTCCTCCAAACTGCACACGTCACTCGCATGACCTTGATTCCATGTGGGGTCTAGGACCTCATCATCCTCCACATCATCTTCCACCCACTCCTCAACACTGCCCTCCTTGCCGGTCTGCACACTGCAGAAAGCCACAGCAGTTGGCATCTGTGTTTTTCCAGCATGTAAACTCTGCAAAGGACATATGGGAATTGTTTTAGAATTGTATCCAGGCAACAGTTTTCCCTATAAACTGACCTCTCAGTTTGACTTGTGAGGGTATTGCCCCCGAATTACAATATTGTTATATTCATATTTGACGCTTCTATTTGACTGTCAGATATGAAGTGCACCCCCAAAATGTACTATTTAGCAGATTAGCAGCAAAACAATTAGAATTTTTACAACTGTGCAGTAAGCGCACTATTAGACGCTTCTATTTGACTCTCAGATATGAAGAGCAGGCCCCAAAATTTACTATTTAGCACTTTAGCAGCAAAACATTTAGAGTGTTTACAACTGCGCAGTAAGCGCACTATTTGACGCTTCTGTTTGACTCTGAGATATGAAGTGCACCCCCAAAATGTACTATTTAGCAGATTAGCAGTAAAACAATTAGAATTTTTACAACTGTGCTGTAAGCACACTATTTGGCTCTTCTATTTGACTCTCAGATATGAAGTGCACCCCACTAATGTATTAGTTTGCAGAATTCTTTCTTAAGCTGTCCCTCACAGCGGCAGCATCCTGTCCCTACACTAATAAGACCTCATGTGCGTGCGGCGCTACGCGACTCCAGCTTATATATAGAGGCTGGGTCACATGCTGCACTGGCCAATCACAGCCATGCCATTAGTAGGCATGGCTGTGATGGCTTCTAAGGGCACACGAGTCAAACGCTTGTTGATTGGGTGCCTGTAGCCTTTCAAAACGCGCCATTAAATTGCCGAACACCAAACTCCAACCCGAACATACAGTGATATGTCCATGTTCGGGTCCGGGGTCCAAAAAACTTAATGTTCAGTACGAACCTGAACTTTACAGTCCGGGTTCAATCAACTCTAGTTAAGAGCCAATTAGTTTGGGTGCTTTGCAGAATAGCTCTCTGAGGAGGTATCACTTAGGTGGAAATCATAGTAGCGCCACACCCAGTGCTCACCCTTGCTGCATAATGTCATATTTTAAATAAAGAAATAATGCACATATTTGTTTAATAAATAAATAAATTATATACAGAGAGACATCCACCTTTTTTCTAAGAAAGGATGGCTGGTTTTGTTGGTGGATGCAGGTCTCTTCCTTGCACTGTCACCCAACCACTGCCATGGTTCCTGAGATCCTAAGGCTGTCCGGTTTGATTTTGATAGTGTTAGCCCTCCAGCAGCTATGGTTTTAAATTTGCAGATTAGCTACCAGCTTTCCACTATACAAGATAAAGTAATTCGTTCAGAAATATCTGATGAAGCTCTGTGCCCAAAGTAGTTCATTTTAAGCGACATTACATTTTATTTCAACAATTTTTTACATTTGTAAAAAAATGTTATGATCCACTTGTCAGGTAAAGCTGCCATTTATATATATATTTTTTAAAAAGTAAATAATTAGCATAGCTCTTCTATAGACTGGGCACAACTATCAGGGGCAGCTCAAGACTTTGTGATGCCCTGGGCAAAGCACAAATATGAGATCCCATAATTTCCCAATAACCCAGCTCCTTAATCCCTTTATTTTAAGGATACATGGTATCCAAGTGTAATTAGGTGTAGGTACACCTACGGTTTACTATTGGAGAAAGTTTAATTGGTGATATGTCCTAGTGAATCTATTAAATGATTACAACAGGAATTTAAAACCCTAGCAATCTTAACGTGACAAACTAGCATTGTTTTTGTTGCTTTTTTGACAAAGCTGCAAAACGCAGTAAAACACTACACCTTGCTTTTCTTTTAGTACACAACATCGTTGCTATGTCATTTCACAATAGACTAGTACTTTTGATAGGTTTTACAAAAGGTTTACAATTAGGGCACATAGACTTCCTATTTTAGGGTATTAGTATTGGCATTTGTAGAATTAAGGTATTTGGTAGGTCGGTTTAAGACTAGACAAGGTAACCAAAATAGGGTCCTCTAGGCTGATGTCACAGCCAGCAGAGAGGTTTGAGGATAAGCCGGTGATGCAGGTTAGAGTAATAATGATAGGCTTGTGATAAAGAGAACATGGTTAAAACTTAGCTTTATTTCTACTATAGATTAATATAAATATATTGAAATAATAGAACTAATTTATTCTAGCTTTAGCAAACCTATTTTTTTATTTTAGAGGTTTTGTGCTCAAATATAATGTATGGCAATCATGAATATAGAACAAGAAAAATAATCGACCTTTAGTGTAAACACTGTAAAGAGTTCCACCCCGGTGAATTAAGACTACTTCCAATACAGTAAGTACTTATACTGGCAGTATCAATTTGTTTAAGAAAGATGGGGGTTTTTTGCCACTTAGAATTTTTTTTCCATATTACACTATTTAAACATTAAGCCCATATATGCAAATATGTATGTGGAATTAGTGTGCTGATGTGAACGTAGTTTAAAATTTTTGGAAAAAAAAAAAGTATATATTTTCGCGAATGCCCATTTGTTTTTATATTTCAAACTGGCATCAGCATGCACCGAACCCAAACAGTAGAAGCAGTTAGAGCCACCTATTAATTAGAATGTGAAATGATGGGATGCAGGGTGTGACCTCCATCACTCGTGTTGGGTGTGTTCCTGTTGGGTTTGGAGTTTGACATACATTAACGGGACAGTCCATACCCAAATACAAAATATTTGTATCTGTCCTTTTTCCAGATTGCTGCCTTAAAAAAACATCTGCTTTAAAGTTCCATGTGAGGACTATACAAACATTTTTCTTCAAAGATGAAGCACAGACTGACAATGTGAGATAAATAACTGTATCAATGTTCAAAAGAACAAAAAGGTTCATGCCTCCTAAGTCAGCGAGCAAAGCATATTTATAGCTTGTAAACAACCTAAATAAACACTTATAGTAACAGGAAGGTTTTCTGAGAGTGTCACTTCCTTCTCTATTATAATTCTTGTGAATAGGTTTAAGCTAGGGAATTTGCATAGATTTGCTTCTGTTTGCATGTCTCACGATAACGTGAATTATGTGTGCTGGAGGCTAGTCCTTGTGGTAAATAAAGTATTTTGGGGATATGCTTGCCACCTGAACAGGAGTGTTGTCTGTTATTCAAGGAAGGCATTGTGACAAAGTCTGTCTACGTGTGTGGAAAGTTTAATCAATTGGGCCTATGAGCCAAAAGTGTCTTTGTAAAGACTGTCAGGAGCACTCATAGGAATTATTACTTTCCTATAAGAAAAGGCAGTCAGAACAGGCAATATCTGCTGCTCTTCTGGGCAGACACAAGATCTTACCGTAAAGAATTGTGGTGGTGGTCTCAGGTGCCAGTGGAGAAGAGATGGATGAGGTTGCGGGCAAAGCCTCAATTCCAAGCTCGTGACCAATCTACCCAATTCCTGTTACAAGCAGTATAACCACAAGAGACGTGACGTGTTTATGGTGTTAAAGGCTGTGACAGGCACCTTTGAGTGTTCTTTAATGCTATAGAATTGAATATGCACTGAATAAAACAATCAGTACATCTATGACAATTCAAGACACTTATAAAAGTCTCTATATAACAGAAAAACCTATTCCAAACAGGAACAAAGACTCAAGCGTAAGCTTACGTAGATCTGACTGCCATGCCTCCTGATGTAAAGGTACTAATTATCGATCAATGTTTCAGGGCAGGCATTAATTATACCCTAGTACAAAAGTATTTTAAATCATAAGCACACACTGGAGAAGAGCCATGAATTGTTTTTAAAACATATTACATTTTCAGCAATTATTTTCATAGTTTTAAAGGGAGCTTTAACTAGCTGTAGAGAATGGTTGAAAACACAGTATGTTGTTGATGGATGTGTCAGTATGAAAATATAAGGGAAATAGTTCAATATTTTCTGAGTTTACTTTAAATATATGGTTTAAGCTTTCTATTGAGGACTTGAAACAACAAATAATCTGTCTCCATTATGAGTAGCAGAAAAATATACTCACCACTATCACGTTCATAAAATAACCACCTATTAAAGCATAGACACCACCAGAAGCACCAACCAGATTTTTACGAGGGTCAAAAATGGAACTGGCCAGGGATCCTAGTGATAAGCCAAAAATTAGGAAAAACGTTACTCGTGCATCTTTTTTTATCTGATATGCTATGTATAACTAATGATTCAAATAGGAACCTTTAAATATTTTATAGCACAGATTATTTCTTTCCATTTGGGGGGGACAAATGAATATGAATCATATATTCAACAATTCCTCCTACACAATAATTTAATCTGTGGGATTGTTTCTCCTTCATAAAGTGCTGATGAGTTGTTTTTTTATAATTTTACCTGAGATTAGGGAAGTCATGTAGTAAAACTATTTTTCAAAATATAGAATACTGTGGAGACCTAGGAGTTCTCTGGATTTTGTGAAGCAACACATTTTAACAGACACATAACGAGGAGCAAGAATACAGGCCACAGGAAGAGTACTGACCTCCAATGACTCCTGCCAGGTATACTAGACCTACACGATGTCCTTTATGAACCAGTTCTAAGGGGATTCCAATAAGAAGTTGGAGAAAAAGGTTCCCAATAATGTGTTGAACTCTGTAGATGGTAAATAAGAGAACATTGTATCAATATACTTGCTTATAGAACATGAGCATGTTATAATGTAACATCAATAATCAAAATTTTATTATACAACTAGTATCACTGTGTTACAATAAACACTGAATACACATAATCTGGTTTTTATTGGACCTCCAGTTTTCTGAGGACACACACACACAATAGCACACTGCATATACTATATTTTGATCAGTACTGACTGGATTGAAGAAGGGCCAGGAACTAATCATTAAGCTCAGCAGGTACTTGCATAGCCAAAACCAGTCAGTGCGTGGACTGGTTTATGAGATTGTAAAATAATGCGCTAATTTCTTGATACTATTGATACTGTGAAAGATAAAGTAAAAAAATAACGATGAAAGAATAAAGGTTATGAATAAAAATAGAATCACAAAAAAAAAAAAAATCAACACCATTTATAAATTGATTTTCAAAGTTTTTTTCAATTGTGTAATTTTAATAGAAGTGACAGTTTGCTTTTAAATGACCACTAGAGGCACTGTGGGTGCAATAAAAGGCAGCTGACATTTTTAAAAAAATTTAAAATGGAGACGTGTTGCCCCCCTGACATGTTGGGCTCTGTATAATCACATGAAATGCCATGTCCTGTTTGAAACCAGCTGCATCTCCAGTCATCAATAATAGGGATAAAAGAAACTGCTGGTATAATCATGGCAGACATTTTTCTAACTTACACTTATCAGCAGTCCTTACAATGAAAATAGATTTCATTTTTTATGTTGTCAACAAAAACTGGGTGGCGCCACCCCACCTACCCCTGTGGACCATCCTTTACTTCATTATTCAATGAAATGCTGCTCATTGAGCAGAGTGCTGAGATCAACAGCAGCAATGTCATTTTCACAGACACAAGGAGCAAGTAAAAATTATATATTTTAGGCATAGACCCATGGGTGTGCCTGTTATCCAGACCAATGGCAGACTGGAAAGGATGGGAGCAAAAATTCCTACGTAAAATCACCCTGGCAGCTAGGCTCACTATGGCACAGGCATGGCTTAAACCAGACATCCCACAGATCTGTATGGTGAAACACAAAATAAGACATCCAAGTCATGGACCATCTCACGGCACTGGTGAGAGGTACCATGAAAGCATATGAAAGGGTGTGGGAACCCTGGATGGCCACGCATAGAGACGAATGAAACTAAAGCGGGGCAGAGGGCAGCGCCGCCCCTGGTCAACCCTGGGCGTGATCTGGGCGAAACTCCGGTCTCTGACCTCCCCCTCCCCCCCCTACCCACTACTCTCTTTTCTCTCATGCCGTCGGGGGGCTGGGGCCTCGTGTTGACGCCATTCACCACAAGCTGAAAGCGACAAAATCAACGAGGCGTCGGGCCGGGGCCCCCGCTCCTCCGCACAGTTAACTGGTTAATGGTTTAATGTGATAATGTGACAATGTCAAAAAGTGTCATCAATAACAGTACATTTCAGCTTGTGACAATGTAGACAATAAGGTACGAACCGCACTACACAATGTATTCTTATACTCGATTGTGCCATGTATGTACTATGCTATACAGCTATTCCCACCAGAATGTATTGCAACGACACGCCAAAAATAAAAGAATTAAAAAAATTTTTTTTTTTTAAATTATATATTTTTATTTTTAGTTCAGATCATAGACAGGATGTACCAATACATATAAACAATAATACAATACAATATTGCGCAAGCATACAAGGTATCTGAATTTGCATTGTACAAGTCTTTCTATAAAAATTAGGTTTTAGTTCTAATATGCATCCCTTTAAATGGTACAATGTACATATGCATCAACTCTGAATAAATTCAATACCATAAACACAGCATATCTCATTGACCTAAAAAGAACATTAGATACATCACTAGATGATAAAGCATCGACTGAGGAGAACCTAAATTTTACGTCTTACTATAGTGATACTCTATATGGTTACCTATTAGTAATACTTCAAGGTGGGTGCTGGGGGCGGGGGGGCTATACATTTGGTATTTAAACCAATCGATCTGAGGGCAAGGGATGGATTGGAAAAGCACACTAATTAAAGACTAATACATTGAAACAAAAAACATTAATCAAACTTGTTAATGCCACATTAAGCTAGGGCATTGTGTTAGTTGTAACTGCAGCATGAGAGTCGCGTGTGGACTGTCTTGAGGTAAACATGGCTACATTCACCAGATCCCATTATTGGGGTACACAATTGACTGCTCAGTTCCAGTTATAGTTAAGGGAGTCCTGAGGAAGTCCCAGTGTTGCTAATAGGGCTATTTCTCCTTGGACATCTTGAACTGCATGCTTGGTGCCACCGTTATGGACCAGAAGTGTGCGACACATTTGCCATTGACATTGAATGTTGTGTTTTCTGAACAGGGATGTGAATGGTAGAAGTGACTGTCACCACACTAGTGTACCTCCAGAGAAGTCTGCATAAAATATACCTCACATTGATTCAAAGGTATAGGGAGTTTGCTTCTTGATGGCCGCCAAAACTCTGGCTTTATCTCTGCCTTGGCACTGCAGCTGGAGCCCTGGGTAATTTAGGGAGTCAAAAGAGTCCTAGGATGCATTGTAATAGATGCAGTTCTGAAGCTGTAATATCCTCCGAGATGCCCTGTATATTTAAGTTATTCCTTCGCCACATATCCTCCAGTGCTGCAAAGTGCCTTTCATTCGTTTCATGTTGTTGCTGTAGCCCCTGTAGCATTGTTGAGGTGAGTTAAATTGGTGTGTACAGTCAAGGAAGGTAGTTTTCAAGTCGGCCCGTTAAGCCTTGCAAATCAAATCAAAGTGTTGCCACGTCAATTAAAATATATTTTTTCTGGAGGTCCGCTAAAAGTTCCTTTACAACTGCTATTGTCATTGGTGTGTCATCTGGACCAAAAGGTGCCGGTACTAAAGTCATTATGGCAGTTATGTTGTCTTCTTTAGTCCCAAGGGACAGGTCATCAGATAATTCAGAGTTGTCCTCTAGATGGGAGGTTAGCTTGGGCCCAGTCATGCCATGAGCTTGCTGCAGAAGTGGTCTGATGTTTATGCTTACCGTTGCTTTTCAGGCTTTTGATCTTACAACCTATATTGCTCCCACAGACCCATATGTGCAACAACAACAGTCCAAACCATGTTCTAGAGCAAAAGAAAAGAAAAGTAAAATAATCTCTTAATCACAGAGCTCAGTTAGTGCGACTATCCGCCTTGCAACAGCAGCCCAAAAATCTAAACATTGAGGAGAATGCTATAAATGTTAGGAAAATATATAAGTGAAGAAGCCTTTTTGGCAAAATGCGTTGTGTTTCTTTACTCTTTTTAAGCATTATATTTGCTATTCACCTTTCCCAGTGTGTTTAACAATTTATTACACGTTTTATGCTTTTAAGCAGTTTTAGCTTTTTATTGCACACCTATTATCGTTAAAAAAAAACCTACTGCACCTTATCCCTGGTGAGAATTATCCTTTGGACAGCTTACTCAACATCATATCCCTGGTGGGGATCATACCACCCAAGCGCAAATACTTGAGCAGTGTGCATTGCTCTATTTTTAATTTTTTAATAGATTTTAACAAAGTAAGTACTATTGTTTGCTTTTAAATTTGATTGTATATATTCATATGTATGCTGTGAGACTGATCCATAGAACTACATATCCATCAGTGGGGATTGTACTGCTGTTTTACCCAGAGCTGGTCTATAGCCCTATTAAATGTGATTGCTAGCCCAATTATCTCAGTTTTGTGTCTTACACCTAGCACAATTAGTGGTTATTTTCTGTTTTTATATATAAGCATCTAAAGTCCAGATTGTTACCAACCAAGACTATCTCAAGCATTTTTTTGGACTTATTGGATTCACTTGGCGCAACTTGTATTGTATTTTGTATTGTTAGAAATACATACCTGTAATCAGAACTCTATAGTGTTCCTTTAACCCCTTAAGGACCGGCCTGTTTTTGCGATGTTGTACGTTAAGGACCAGAGCTGTTTTAACACTTTTGTGGTGTTTGTGTTTAGCTGTAATTTTCCGCTCTCTCATTTACTGTTCCCATACAAGTTATATATTGTTTTTTGCAGGTCAAGAAGGGCTTTCTTTACATACCATTATTTGTATCATGTCATATATTTGACTTTAAAAAAAAATATATATATATATGGTGAAAAATTTTAAAAAATAAAGAGACACGTTTTTGGACTTTTACTTGAAAAATCTTTTACTTATCTACAAAAGCTTATGAAAAAAACTGCTAAACAGATTCAAAGTTTTGTCCTGAGTTTAAAAACACCCAGTGTTTACATGCTTTTTTTTTTTGTGCAAGTTATAGGACTATAAGTACAAGTAGGACATTCCTGTTTCAATATATTTTTTAAAATTATCAATAGTGACATTGTAAAACTGTTATCGGTCATAAATCCCTGAATCACACCTCACATGTACATATTTTTTTAAAGTAGACAACCCAGGGTATTCAATATGGGGTATGTCCAGTCTTTTATAGTAGCCACTTAGTCACAAACACTGGCCAAAGTTAGCATTTATATTTGTTTGCGTGTTAAAAATGCAAATAAACGCTAGCTTTGGCCAGTGTTTGTGACTAAGTGGCTACTAAAAAAGGCTGAACATACCCCATTTGCAATACCTTGGGTTGTCTTCTTTTGCAAATGGTATGCCATCATGGGGGTAATTCTCATTCCTGGGCTACCATACGCTCTGACAAATTTAAAAAAAAAAAAAAAACTCTAATCAAGCCCTATATTTGACCCTGTAACTTTCAAAAACACTATAAATCCTCTACATGTGAGGTACTGTTATACTCGGCAGAATGAACACAAACATTAGTGTTTCAGAACAGTAAAACGGATCACAGCAATAATATCATCAGTGTCCTGAAAGTGCCGTTTGTGTGTGAAAAATGCAAAAAACATCACTTTCACTGACAATATCATCGCTATGATACGTTTTACTGTTTTGAAAGATCAATATTTGTGTTCAGCGAAGTCTCCAGAGTAAAACAGTAACCCCCATGTACAGGTTTTAGGGTGTCATAGAAAGTTACAGGGTTAAACACAGTGCTAGCAAATTAAATTCTCTGGACTTTTGGCCTGGGTTCTCAGGCATGTCCCTCAAATTGCAACTAATAAAATTACTTAATTATGTAAAAATATTACATAAATATGCACGTAGAATTTAAATATATATACATATTTATATATTTGAGGTCTACGTGTATATTTATGAAATTATTTATGTACATATGTATATTTTGGATTATTTTTATTTATTTATACATAGATGATATATATTTTTTCCACTTGCAGGGAGACTGCCTGTCAGCACAGACAGTCCCCCTGCAGGCAGATACACAGGCACTTATTGCGGCCACGTGATTGAGCGATCACGTGGCCGCGGGGGTCCTAATCTGCCGCGGGGAGACTGTCTGGGCAGACAGGCAGTCTCCCTGGACTGGATGAAACGCTGATCGCCGCCGGGGGAACGACAGCGATCAGGTAAGTACCCCAAGACCGTTATGACGGTTCAGGACCATCATCGATCCTCAAGGGGATGTTTCCGATGACTGTCCTGAACCGCTTGATGCATAGTAAACAATAAAATGTGTACGATTTTTGGTGTGTGCTTATTTCATAGTATATAAAACAGATACTATAAATATTTATGCTGCCATGCTTACCCAGCATGCACGAACATGTAAGAAAGGAATCTCCATGCCTCTTCTCGTTTATCATACCGGTATGTCAAGGGGCTATTCATGATACCAGTTCCCAAGGTAATCCATTGTTTCTGTGGCTTCCATACTGCGTAGTAAATGAATACTGAAAGCTGGAACGTGATAAAACATGCAAGAAGGTTACTGTGTCAGTCTGAATTTCTAGTAATGCATCATTCCTCTTATTCACTTGCTATATGATGTGCCAATAGATAGCATCACATTAGTTGTTTGACTATTAAAAAGGTAAATAATTTAACAGGGCCAAAGATAAAATATTTGAGCAATTAACGGAGAAAGAAAATAAGCATTATCTCAGGACAGAAGATCCATAAAACTGGCTTCCAGTAAACGGTTTCCAAACTTCACTTAACTCCCTCTCCCCTTTAATACAGTGTCCTGTAACCAACCAACTCTTTAAATAAATCACATTTCTTTTCTAAGTAGGAGGAAAAAAAAAATCCATAACTAGGATCAAGACTCTTGTTTTTTTCTGCATTAGTGCACTCAGGTTCAACCATTTGTGTTTATTGGACAATAAGGATTCAAAATGTTCTATAAATGACTCTTATTTTTAACATTCAGGTTAATTAAATTCATTAATTAATAAAACCATTTCAGTAATTTGTTTCCCAGGAAGGTTTACTCATGCCCGGATTCATTAAGCTGTGAAAGACTAGGACTGATTGGGTGAGCAGGTCTTCCTCTAACATCCTATATTCTTCGCAATGTTTTAGGCCAAAGGAATTATTTTTGATATTTCATGGAGCATGGAGTTAGTGGAGGATTAACACTGTGTTGACACTGCAATTTAGGCCTATTGTAGGCACTCTTTCCGAACAAACAACACTGAAAGATTCAGAAAAGTTAAGCAAGCAACTTGGATCATGGGGAATTAATTTAGGCATCCTGTTAGCATTATACATTTCACTACTAGATTTACTATACTGATCTCACTATCAAAATTAGAGTACATATGCCTTGATGTTTACATCAGACCCAATGTTAACAGAATCCTCTAGAATTAACATACAATTCTGAATATACACATAATTGATTTTGCCAAGGCATTTGACACAGTAGACCATGGCATTCTTTTGCAAAAACATATAAACTCAGGCATTGGTGATCGTCCGCTAACCTGTTTTCGATTATATATTTCAGACCAATTGCTATATGTGTCCATTTCTGATGCTTTCCGCCCTCTTCCAGTCACATGTGGTGTTCCAAGGCTCCATACTCGGCCCCCTACTATTCACATTATTTATAAATGATCTGCCTAACGTCTGCAAATTCTCAACTGTACACATGTATGCAGACGACACTGTAATCTACTCTAGCAAACCCAAGCTACCGCAGCTTGAGGCTGTGCGCCAAAACCAATACACAGAGGTAGAAAAGTGGATAGAGATATAAAAACAGAAGAAAAGATTTAAAAAAAAACTATTAATAAACTGAGATTAAATACTTATTATCAGGGAAACAGAGCCAGCGAGAATTTAACAAAGAAACTAAAGAAACAAAAACACAGCTAACATGATTAACAAGTTGTTGGATAATCAAATTACATATTCTTCCCCTGAAAAAATTGGCCAATTATTTAACGAATACTATAGCAACTTGTATAATCTCGATATATCTTCAGATAGCAAAGAAATAAATATTTAGCAGATACAGATATTCCAAGAGTCACTAATCTTGATTTAAACCATCTTAATTTTGAGTTCACGCCTAATGAGGTGGAAAGGGAGATTGACAGATTGGAATCATTTAAAACTCCTGGCCCAGATGGATTCAGCAATCTCTTCTACAAGATCATGAACAAAGAAATAGTCTCTCCCTTAACGGTCTTTTTAATGAAATGGCCAAAAAAGCCAAAACTCTGAAGGAGTTACTACAGGCTAACATCTTACCAATATTAAAACCTAATAAAGACGAAACCGATGTTAAAAACAACAGACCAATTTCATTAATAAACACAGACATGAAAATGTATGCAGCAATTTTAACACATAGATTAAAAACACTCAGAAAAAGTTGTCCATCCAGACCAGGTTGGTTTTATCCCGGGCAGATCCTCAGATGGTTGCACTAGAAGAATTGTGGATATATTGGATAGTACAGAGCGTCAGGAGATTTAATTGCTGACCCTGTCACTAGATGCCGAGAAGGCCTTTGACAGGGTCAGCTGGAGATTCCTGGATGCTGTATTGACCTCGTTTGGATTCGTGGGCTGGATCCATGGCACCATTATGGCCCTTTATTCCAATCCAACATTAAGAACCGTAGGAGTAAATATTTTATCAAGCTGATTTAATTTACAAAACGGCACGCGGCAGGGATGCCCTTTATATTTTAGCTCTGGAACCATTAGCAATAAATATCAGGACAAACTAAAAGATCAAGGGTATTTCAACCAACAAATCAGAAGCAAAAATATCACTCTATGTCGATGACATACTATTAACACTTACATCCCCAGAATCTTTTTTACCTCAAGTATTACATGAGATAAATAATTATTCTAAAGTATCTAACTATAAACTTAATGTATCAAAATCAATTGCTCTAACTAACAAGGTTAAAAATTACTGTTTTAAAGATCTTAGAGACAAGTTTGACTTTATATGGTCAAAAGATGTTTTCAACAATCTCAATACAAGTAGAATAAATTATGGAAATAAATGTTTTAAATCTTCTAAAATATACAAACATAAAGCTAAAAGAATGGCGACTGTTAGAATCCTCTTGGTCAGGCAGGATTAATATAATAAACGCCTATTTTATCCCTAAATGGTCATATCTGTTTAGGATGATACCTCTTCAAATGCCTGACAGTTGGCTAACTATGATTCAATATAGCTTTCAGACCTTTATCTGGAAAGACAAAAAACCCAGAATTAGTTCTAAAGTTCTGTCCAGAAAATATCAGCAAGGGGGTTTGAATTACCCTGACATAAGAAATTGCTACTCTGCCAATATTATCGGGCATATATACAAACTTCAGGTTTTAAAAAAATATATATGGTATATAATTGAATCAGAGGCTGCCGGAAGGGATAGACTAGAAGTATATTTGTGGCTTAATTGCAACAAAAAAGCGACAGATGAATTAAATAGTAAATCCTTAATTCTAATCACAGATTATCAGGGCCTGGGATATACTGAAAAGACAATTGAAAATCTCTAACAAAATAATTAACACATGTCATCTGGTCGTTTTGGAAGATAATATGCAAGATATCTCTTTACAAAACTGGCATAAATCCCAATGGAGTATCAAAGATATCTTGCAACAAGACCAATTATTACCCTTTGTGGATATTAAAGCTAAATTACATCTACCCAACAGAGAAATTCTCATATTTGAGAATCAAATTTTTTTTGAATAAATCTTTATTAAGAACATCTACAATCGATACTTATATTCAAAATATCTTTAACTATACTAAAATTAAGAAAATTACTTCCAAAGACACTAATTTGATACTTACTTCTGATCAAAAACCCTTAAATATTATAGATAAATGGAAAAATTATTTAAATATTGATATAAGTGACAATGAATGGTGTTCTTCAATTAAGGATATCCGCAAATTTATCCACTGTTAGTTAGAATCTAATAGAATGTCAATACAAGATTATGTACAAATGGTATTTGACCCCACATAGAATTAGTAGGATGTATCCAGGTCAGAATCCCCATTGTTGGTGATGTGGCTGCCTGGACGGTACCCTTGTACTAGTAATTAGTAAAATGTCTTTGGTCGTGGTCCTTTAAACTACTCAAATCCTAGTTTAAAATAACAATAAAAAAATGGACCCAACACAGCTTTATTACATTTAAATTGGGATTTACCTTCCATCTCACCTAAACCCCTTGTAATCCATTGTTTCTTAGCTACTAAGATTATAATAGCAAGACAATGGAAGTCACATCTTCCTTTTCAGAGGAGACATTTTATCGATCAATTTTTATTCCAACTTCATATGGAAAAAGATTTACACGGTTCTTCTTTATACTCCTTAAATAAACAAGATCAATATAACAAATGGATAGAAGCTTTAGGAGGCGATTGAGCTGTAAGGTGGGCTCGCTCTTTAAAATTACTGATACACAAATATAATGGAAAAAAAAAAAAAACTTTCTTTCTTTAAACTAACCATGGTTTAGATTTATAATATTAGCAGTTTTACGATGATATACAATCAAACTCTTTTTTAGGGTAAACTGTAAATGCTTAGAATTATTTCTGAGTTGCTAAGGGTTACTGCTGTAAATGAAAATGTCCTGTGTGTGTCTGTTTTTGTTTATACGCTGTATATGGTGTTAAACATATGTATGTAAAAAAAAAAAACAACAAAAACTTTTTCTAATATAAAAAGATTATGAAAAAAAAAAAAAGTCTGCACTTTTAAATATCTAAGTATGCTGCTAGACCCCAACCTATCCCTTGGCCTTCACATTGAAAAAATATCTCCAAAACTTTACTCAAAACTAGGTACCCTGTACAGAAACAAATCCTGCCTAAGCCCTACAGTAAGGAAACATAGTGCAACAAATGCTAATGCCGGTCATTGATTATGGGGATGTAGTGTATGCACCTGCACCGCAAACCCACCTTAATACGTTATATAATTTGTTCTGCCGCTTTGAACTAGAATGCAATTACTTTACCCACAACTGTGACATGTTAAAAGAGGTAAACTGGCTGTCGCTGGAATCCCGACGCACTCTTCATCTTTCCAGCCTTGAGCATAAGAGCATTTCTGGGAAGCTCCCATCCTACCTGAGTAGAATACTCTCCTCAGCTGTTCCCACCTCCTATAACCTGTGTTCCAGTACTAGCACGATATGTAGCATACCGCAATACAAAAATAAAGTGGCTTGATCCTCATTTTCCTACAGAGCACCACAATTATGGAATAACCTCAGGGACACAGTCAAATCTTCATTAAATCCAAAATCTTTTAAGAGATCTATGGCAATATACCTCATCACAGAATGCACCTATCATGGTTGAATATATTTATTAGCTTATATATTATATAGTTTGTATATTGTGTTTTTGTAATATTCTATCCTATTGTAACAATGCAATATTTTGTGGATGCAGGACATACTCGAAAACAAGATAAATCTCAATGTATCCATCCTGGTAAAATATTTTATAAATAAATAAATATATATAACATGCCCTACAACATCTCACATTCCTAATCAGCTACTGATCTCTCATGTCCATAGAAGTATCACATCAGCAACATTTCCCCAACATCCCAGCAGAGAAGGGTCCTCAAACATCCTATACCAATTAAAATGATGTGTTTTTTTTTTTTTTTAATATCTACTATACTGCTTTCCATATGCCAGCTTGTTTGTAAAGCTACTATATGTACAATGTTACAGAATATGATGAGGAAAGTTAAAAAATAAATACAAAATTCTACTAGCATTTATCACATTATTATAACTTAATTTACATCATAGTGCTATTTCCCCATGTACCTCAGCAATGCTAATTAAGATTATGAAAATTGGAGGTGGCAGGCAGTTTGCCCTCTCCAGGTAAGAGTCTCTGAGGTCTGAAGGTAGCATCCAGTTAGAGATGGTTTGGTGGAACCTATCACAACAGGTATTAGTTGGTGTTTCTTCAGGTTTTTCATCGTTTTCCTCAGTCTCATCTGGCCATTCTTCCCGCGGAGCCATCCTCTCGAGTTCCATGTTTTCTATAATGAGTTACAATGTTAGACCACATCATGAGATGCAAAGTTTAGTTTTATTTTAAGAAATATATATACACACACACACACACACACACACAATTCCTAATTTTATCATGTATTAAAGGAACACTGCAAGCATGGTAACCATTATAGCCCACTGTAGTGGTTATATCGTGCCAGGAGTACCTTGGCCACCACCCACAGTAATTTATCAAACTGTTTAAGAACAGTTTGACAACTTACCCACCACATCCAGCTTTTTCCGTAGAAGGAACTATACAGGGCTGCGTTCATTGGCTGAAAAGGCTCTGCTGATGCTATCAGCCAATGAGCATAGCCCTCCACTGCCAGACAATTAAAGCAGCAAGCACATGGCAGACCCAAAATAAGTTGTCAAACTTTTTTAACAAATTACTCTGGGAGGTCGGCAAGATGCTCCTGGCAACATGACCACTACTATGTAGAGATTAAGGTGCTAGGGGTGTTCTTTTAACCTGGCACATTGATGGACTAATGAAGAGTGATGTCCCGAACTGTTCGCCGAACTGTTCGCCACGGACGCCAGTCAGCTGACACATTCCAGCCAATCAGCAGCAGACCCTCCCTCCCAGACCCTCCCACCTCCTGGACAGCATCCATTTTGAAGCTGCATTCTTAGTGAGCTGTCCAGGAGGTGGGTGGGTCTGGGAGGGAGGGTCTGCTGCTGATTGGCTGGAATGTGTCAGCTGACTGGCGTCCGTGGCGTACCGTTCGGCGAACAGTTCAGGACATCACTACTAATGACCTGTCAGGATTTCACTCAAAAGCCAAAGATCTTTTCTTCTTAAACTGCAATACAAAATAACAACGAAGGATACATACGACTCAATAGCATTTTAGTAATCCTGCATATTTGTTTTGCACTTTAAAGTGCATCTGTCACGTGCCAGACGATTACAAAAATCAACATGGCATAACTGCCTGGACGGTAACTTTTTACAAGACAGTTCTGTATTTATGGTGTATCTACACTATTACTCTTTTTCTGAGAGAACAATTCTCACCTGATATTTCATATTATAATTGTGGTTATACTTGCAGTGACTTATTGCAAGTCACTCTGGATAAGGAGGCAGGGAGTAAAGTACCGTAAATACTCGAGTATAAGTCGACCCGAATATAAGTCGAGGCCCCTTAATTTTACCCCAAAAAACTGGGAAAACTTATTGACTCGAGAATAAGACTACGGTGGGAAATGCAGCAGCTACTGGTATATTTCTAAATAAAATTATATCCCCCAAACATTATATTAATTGAATATTTACTTAGAGTGTGTGTGTATGCAGTTTGTGTGTGTGTGTGTATGCAGTGTGTGTCTATATGAATGCAGTGTGTGTATGTATACAGTGTGTGTCTATATGAATGCAGTGTGTGTGTATGTGATGCAGAGTGTGCAACCTTGGTGGGGGGTGGGCATTTGTATTATTTTTTTATTATTATTTTAATATTACATTTTATAAAGTTTTAAAAAAAAATATTATCACATTTTTATTTTATTATAATATTATTAAAATGTTTTATTTTTTTCATCCCCCCTCCCTGCTTGATACATGGCCAGGGAGGGGCGCTGTGTAAATCCCTGGTGGTCCAGTGGATGGGCTGTGCAGGAGGGAGGCTGGGAGCAAGCGGTTACTTACCTTTACAGCAGTTCCTGTCAACTCACTTCTCCTCCATGCCGTTCAGCTCCAGTGTAAGTCTCGCGGTCTGCGTGGAGCGTTGCCACGGTAACCTGACGCCGCCGCTCTCGCAAGACTTACAGTGGAGCTGAACGGCACGGAGGAGAAGGGAGTTGACAGGAGCTGCTGTAAAGGTAACAGCTTGCTCCCAGCCCCCAACAGGACAAGCCCGGCAGTCCTGGTCCGTATTATGGCAATGCAAGTTGCCATAATACAGACATTGACTCGAGTATAAGACGAGTGGGGCTTTTTCAGCGCAAAAAAAGTGCCGAAAAACTCGTCTTATACTCGAGTATATACGGAATATGCTGCACTATACCCTTTACAATGATGCTTGGAGTACTTTTTAGCAAGGTTAATGGCAGGAACCGCACTCACGCCCAACGGCCACGGCTTGACAAAGACCTCTAGTCAGGTTGAAACGTTGCTGTGCATTTTGTTGCAATAAATCTGCCTGCGGCTTCACCTGTGAGTTTTTCTTGTTTGCCTTATCGTGGAGTACTTTAAAAAAAAAAAAAAATCACAAAAAATATGATTTAAAAAAATTCTGTTTCTTTTTTTGTACTGAAATAATGTAAAGTAAATTTTCACTTGTCTAATCAAGGTCTGTCCCTTGCTAAATCCCTCTGATCCTATAAAAGGTTTTATGGCATTTGTGTCAAGACTTCCCTGTATACTGAAAGCTTGAAGTCTACCTTTTTGGTAAATCTGGCCACTCACTTACTGATCTATACATTGCTGGAGCTTTTCTTTTATGGTTATACTGTTCTTTGTTGGGAATACATAGGGAAATTTCACTAATTATGTCAAAACAACCAACCTGGAAGGGGGCGTGGCCGGCTTTGGAGCAAGATGGACGCATAATTCCCTTGCTCTGGCATCAAGCACCTAATCTAAAGCAATCCTGAGTGGTATTTAGCCATCCTGCATGGGACAATAGCAATGTCTCATCATAAGAGCAAAAAGAGCACCGGGAAACCGGAGAAGCTAAATTTTTTTAGCCAGAAACAAATACCTGTGTCTCTGGCTGTGCAGGCCTCACACCTCGATGAAGAATTGGAGTCTAATGGCGGGCCCTTGGGGCAGGAACCACTAACCCCTACCAACAATGCACAAATCACAAAAGCCGATCTGGCTTCAGCACTAGATAACCTGTCTGCAAAACTGATAGCCTCGTGGCAGAGCATGGCGGAATCTATGAAGAAAGAAATTCAGGAGCTGGGACGGAGAACATCCCACATGGAGGACAAATGCGACTAATTTGCTACGGCCCATAATGACCTGGCCACTAATGTGGAACACATGGCAGCCAGGTTGGATGCACTTGAAGGGAAGGTGGAGGATCTGGAAGATCGCTCTCGTAGGAACAATTTGAGTCTGAGAGGTATCCCGGAGGAGGTCACCACTGACGACTTACCGGCATATGTGCTGCTGGTAGATCGAATCCACCGCATCCCTAAACCTAAGTACCTACCCCAAGAAGTGCCGAGAGATGTAATATTAAGGGCACACTATTACCACATAAAGGAGCATATTCTTAGAGGCAGCAAGATGCGGGCCTCACCACCGCCAGATTATCCTACCTTCAAAATATATGCGGATCTATCAGCGGTGACCTTAAAGAAACGGAAGGCTTTCCAACAAATCACAGCCACACTGAGGGAGCATGACGTTAAGTATAAGTGGGGCTTCCCCACGAAGCTATTGGTCATCAAAGATGGAGGCATCATCACCCTCGCGAATCCGGACGACGGAGTAAAACAGTTGAGAGCCTGGAACTTACGAATGATACAGACAGTGTCAAAAGCTAAATCTGCGGGGAATATTACTGCGGAGTGGAAAAAGGCTGCCAAGAAAAACTGACCGCGGCCGGATCCCATGTGGGAAAGAGTGGGACAGACGGGGGCTCTAGCCCGGACATTGCAGGTTGGCTGCCCTTGGATGGATCCTCCGCACCGTCCCAGACGGTTTCTCAGGTTTGCCTGGGGAGGTGGGCTTGGGCGGGGCCTGACTGTCTCATTATCATACCACTCATCACATATGCGGAACATGTCCTCTGTGCCAGCAGAGGAGATGCACTTACAGAGGTGCACACAGCCATGCTGATGGAGAGACGATCTCTCCACTATACCCCAAGTGTGGAAGATCCACATTCCGTCTCCCTAAGAGGCGTCCTGTACATAGTTTTTCAGTTTAACCTTCCCTTTCCCTCCATCCCTCACGCTTCCACCCAAATCGGTTACACGAATCAAGCAGCTCACTATATACCTAGACTTATAGACCCACATGTTGTTGCCGGTTGGCACGCATGGGCAAACCGTTCGGGCACTCAGTTGGAGGGGCACCCCTGGGACCTCGAGTTGGGCCCCCGGGTTGTCCCTCTGACGCTTCATGAGCCAGTACGGGAGTCTACTATAACACTTAGAGACAGTACAACAATATTCACTGTATGAGGATACATACTATTAATGCTCGTGGCTTAAAACACGCCGCACAAAAGAAGGCTCCTCCTAGAGGATGCCAAACACAGACACTCAGATATTATATGCATCCAAGAGACCCATTTTGCACATAATAGGGTTCCCAATTTTGCCACCAAAGACTATCCCATACAGTATCACTCTACCCACGCTTCCAAATCCAGAGGCATCTCCTTACTAATCCACTCATCATTATAATATGAGCTATTACCAAAAAAGATGCCTAGGGTAGATATATTATAGTGCACTATAGAATTAATGAGGCCATTTATAACTTGGTAGGTATTTACAGCCCGAATGAACACCAGTGGCACTTCCTACGGAAGGTGCTCTCTAAAATTCCTGATACGGTGCAGGCGTCTACAATTATATGCGGGGACTTAAATCATGTACTGTATGCCCGCATGGACACCACAGCTATGATACAGCCACACCGGCAAAAAGTAGTGGGAAAACAGGCAGATCTCTTGCTACAACTCTTGTCAGAATACCATATGTATGACGCGTGGCGAGCACAACATCCGAACAGCCGAGAATTTACCTTCTACTCCCAAATCCACAAAACGTATACCCATATAGACTTTATCTTCATCTCGGGGGACCTATTGCCAAAAGTCAAACATAGTGAGATAGGGAATATAGTGTGGTCAGACCATGCTCCAGTGCATCTGACACTGGAGGACACTTTCCCATCGCAGGGGACAACTACGTGACGTTTGAAGGATAGTCTCCTTCTAAATGGGGATCTGAAATCCAAAGTGGAAGAGGGAATAACTACCTTCTTCGAACTTAATAGCACACCAGACCAGTAACCACACAATGGCAAGCGCATAAAGCAGTAATTAGAGGCCTCTTGATTAGTCAGGCATCTTACCTTAACAAAACCTCCAAACAAGAATACATAGACTTATTGAGATCCCTAAGGGAAGAAACCTCTAAACAAACTAAAGCCCCAACGCTGTCCACACAACAACACATCGAGGGCATTCGTGAGGAATTAAATAGGAAGCAAATGCGAACAACAGCCCTTATAGCACATAACCTAAAGCAAACGATGTACGTACAAGGGAATAGAGCGGGGAAAATGTTGGCAAGGTCATTAAGGCAACAACGACAAAACGCAAAGATTCCATTTCTCCTTAATAACATGGGGAATAGGTTGTATGACCCACAGATGATTAATGATACACTAGCGAACTACTATGAGGGCCTCTACAATTTAAAAACAGATGCACAGACACACCAACCGTCCCAAGCAGAAATAGACCTGTTTTTAGGTGAAGTCCAACTACAGCAGATCACACGCCCAGACCAAGCGGTACTAGCAGGACCCATCACAAGATCAGAAATTGAACTCACAATTAAATCGCTCCCTAGGGGGAAATCTCTTGGACCAGACGGGTTTACCAATCTTTATTATAAAACTTTTTCACATTTGCTATAAGACTACATACGAACCTCCGGTACAATTCCCAAAGACATGCTCTTAGCGCATATCACAACCCTGCCAAAGCCTGGGAAACCACCCAATAGGAGCCAAAATCTACGCCCCATCTCGCTCTTAAATACAGATCTAAAGATATTAGCCAAAATCTACGCAAACAGGCTGGGGTCTATTTTACCCAAGTTGATAAATGAGGATCAAGTGGGGTTTGTGCGGGGGAGGCAGGGTTCTGACGGGACAAGGAAATTGATTAATATTCTCCACACTATACAGAGAACGGGAGTACCAGGTGTGGTGCTGTCATTAGATGCTGAAAAAGCATTTGACAGACTGCACTGGGGCTACCTACAATCTGTACTTAGGAAACTGGCCTTCCCAGAATGCTTCATTAAGATAGTCTCAGCGCTCTACAGTAATCCAACTGCAAAAATATCCAACGGAGGTTTCACTTCTAAACCCTTTCCCATTTCCAATGGGTCAATGCAAGGTTGCCCGTTATCCCCCCTGCTGTACATACTGGCGCTGGAACCTTTAGCACAGCACATAAGAAACTCACAAGATATCCACGGAGTGTTACCAGGAGGGATGGAGCATAAAATTACCCTTTTTGCCGACGATGTAATGCTCACATTGACTCAACCAGAAACTTCGCTCCACAAACTGCAACAGGTCTTAACAGAATTCAGCAATTGCTCCTATTACAAGCTGAACACAACTAAAACACAAACCATGGGCCTCAACATGACCAAATCTCAACTATTAGAATTAAAATCTACCCACCCCTACGATTGGCGACAAACACACCTAACTTTCTTAGGGGTTAAACTAACCCCCCAAACAAACCAATTATATAAAGCAAACTACTTAAAACTACATAACTCAATTAAACAACAGCTCCACAATTGGAAGCATAAGTATCTATCGTGGATGGGTAAAATAGCCGCCGTCAAAATGATGGTCCTACCAAGGTGGCAATACCTCTTCAGAACCCTACAGATCGGATTACCAAGCTCCTTTTTTAAGGAATCACAACAGGTGATTAATCAATTTATCTGGGGAGGGAAGAAATCTAGGATAGCAGCTAAAACCTTGTATAGACCATATAGAGAGGGCGGATTGGGGTTGCCAAATATAGCGAGGTACTACGCGGCGGCCGTGATGAGCACAATGATAACCACTTATTTTGATGAAACCCCAGGAAGTGGAACACTATAGAATCCGCACAAATAAGGGATCTGTCCCTACCCACTCTGGTTTGGCTACCTAAAATACATAGACCGAAATTTTGCATTATTAGCCCAACAATAGCAGCGATGGTTCAAGTATGGGACAGAGCCCTTGTAAGATGCCGCAGTGATACTTATATCTCCCCTGCTATGCAGATACAAGCTGTGCCATTCTTTATCCCTGACTTTGAGTATGGGTTGTGGCACAAGCACGGGGCAAAATATATATTCCAGGTTTTAGCAGAGAATCGGATCTTAGATTTTGCCTCCATAGTCCAAAACTATAAACACCCAGTGACAGCACAGTATTCACATATGCAGTTGCAATCTTGGGTAAGGAAGAGTATCAAAAGAGACACCACACAGCCGAACTCCTTACTAACCGAACTGGAGAAATTGTGCTCAGCCCCGAAATGTCCCCCTAAACTGTTGTCGACTATCTACCGACTAATAACAAAATATGACAACATAGAGAGACCATCGTTCTTGGGGGTCATGGGAAAAGGACCTACACAAAACCTTATCGGACGAACAATGGACATATATATTCCATGCACACAAAAATCTCACTCTCAATGCATCCCATGTAGAGCTTAGTAGGAAAGTGTTGTATAGGATGTACATGGTTCCCACAAGATTGCATAACATGGCCCAAGAGAGATCTAATTTGTGCTGGAGATGTCGGACAGAACCTGGATCTATGATCCATATATGGTGGTCTTGTCCAAGACTAACGAGGTTTTGGAGCGATATCTCTAACACGATAAAGGCAGTAACAGGCAAACAGCTTCCACATTGCCCAGAGACGTATTTACTACTGGTACTGCCTAGGGGCCTCCCCAAGACCATTCTACATGTCATGTATCATCATCATGGCAGCCTTGACAATAATAGGGAAGATGTGGCTAAAGGAACTCCCGCCTGAGATTGGGCAATGTTTGGAGGCAATAGACATCACAAAACAGTATGAGACAGAAGCAAGACACTTAAGACCTAAGGGGGAGACGTGGCGAGCGGCATGGGCCCGATGGGATACCTGGAGACAACAGGCCTTTAAATCTCTAAGTCCTAGAGACACAGAGCCCTAAACACGTATCTCCTTGAATGGTAGACCGACACCCTTCCACATACCTAACCTAACCTAACCTAACCTTCCCTAGTTTATACACCCCATATAGTTAGAGGAGGGGATGGACACAGAGAGACGGGAACGCTTAGGGAATGACACTTAAGAGAAAATGCCTGGGGCTCCTCATATGTTGGTGAAATGTTGATATAAGGAACTAATTGAGAAGGAGGAGGAATGGATATTATATATTTGATCACTGGGTGGATCCAAGCATTAACATACCCGTACATTCCTTTCTCTTCTGTACTCCTTACCCAATTCTTTTAAAATTCAATAAAATATATTTAAAAAAAAAATAAAAAAATAAAAAAACCAACCAACCTGAAATTTTTTTTCTAGCTAAGCTATTTTGTGCCTTAAATTTGCAGTTTTCTCCTAGAAGCTCAATTAGCATAGGTTTTAGTGTGGCACGCTCCCGATGAAAGAAAGTGGAGTCCCTCATGATGGGAGCAGATCTACCACCGTATTACATTTGGGCCCCTAAGGAACATAGAGTTTTGCTACATACTAACTCCATCTGTGACTAATTTCATACCAATCTGGGTTAACACTGCTAGAAAAACTTATCTGATGTCCACTCCATCCACTACGATGACTCTACTATGAAACATAACATATATTCCGGGAATGAGAGCGATGGATTTTAAAGGCACCGAACATGCGGGAATACAAAGGATTTGCCATCTGTATGACAGGGACACGATTATTGCATTCACTGAACTTCAGTCGGACTACTCTCACATCCTCAGACTTTTTTTAGACCAGGCCATATGGGAGGCATATAGCAAAATTTCCATTTGTGTAACAATGCAGGAACAATCCTACGCAGTGGCGGACAGTGGTGTAGTTTGGATTTGTGCTGCCCTAGACATGATGAAACTTGGGAACCACCTAATTTAAATTTGCCCAATCCCTTCCTGTCAAGGCCTCACCTCTTCCTGTTAAACACCAACATACACTTTGACCAAAAGACACACGTCCTCACTGATGCATGCACTGACATACACTCACTGATAGCAGGCCCGTCGCTACCATACAGGCAAACCAAGCAATTGCTGGGGCCTCGAGCTCGCCTGGGGCCCCAAGCAGGGCTGGCGCTTCCTATAAGGCTGCAGCCGCCTGAGCGCTCTATAGAGAGCCTCAGATGGCTGTAGCACTCCTCTCTCGTCACCTCCCTTTCCCTGTAGCGTGGCCGAGCTTCTCTTCCTCCTGTCAGTCCAGCCGGGTACCGTGCGGTACAGGAGATTCAGTTTACTGTTCCTGGCCGGACTGACAGGAAGTGCACACTGAGGACTGCAGACTGACAGCCAGGAGGAAGAGGAGCTCGGCCATGCTACAGGGAAGGGGAGGTGAGAACTAAGAAGAACATGGGGAGGGGTAAAAAGAACAAAGGGGGAGTAAAAAGAAGAACATAGGGGAGGGGGCGTAAGAAGGACACAGGGAGGGGGAGGGGGAGTAAGAAGGACACGGGGGGAGTAAGAAGAACACAGCGAGGGGGACTTAAGAAGGACACGGGGGAAGTAAAGGACACAGGGAGGGGAGTAAGAAGGACACAGGATGGGGGGGACGGGAGTAAGAAGAACATAGGGAAGGGGAGGGGGGAGTAGTAAGAAGAACATAGGGAGGGGGGAAGGAGTAAGAGTTTGTGAGCCTCCATGTCTGTTTTGCTTGGGGCCCCCAAATTCCTTCAAAGGGCCCTGACTGACAGATACAGTCATTGGCACACACACTGTTTAACCAACATACACTTCACTGACATACATACACTGACACACACACACTAAGATACCCTGACATACACACATTGACAGCCACGCACTCACTGATTTGACACACATTGACAGACAAAATCACTCAAACACTGACACTCATTGACAGAGACACACACACACATACACATTTTCCCCAACACCCACAAAATATATATGTACATTTTTGTTGTATATTTTAATTTAAATCCACCCAGCCTCCCTACCTTTATTAGAGCTGGAGTGGATTCTTTACCTGGGGTCCAGTGGGGCTGCTGGGCTGGCTGTTGGCCAGGCTGCATGAACTGCTGGGCAGGCAGGCACACAAAGTAGGTGGCGAGGGAGCTGTGATCTTTTTGTTCAGCTTCCTAGTGCCGCTTAGAAATTCCTGCTCCCGGCATCACTACAGAAAGACAACACAGATCTGCACTTCCTCGCCACCTGCAGGACAAGGCTAGCAAGACCAGAGCGTTTGGGGACGACATTTTTTGTTCCCTCCAGGAAAGTGCCGCCCAAGGCAAATGTTGTTCGCCTCACATTAAATACATCGCTGGTAGCTGAACTACAGCCGGTGCAGCTGATGCGGCAACACTGGGGCCACACACAAAGGAGGCCACCTGATAGGCATTTGTCAGCAGGGGCCTGGTCAGACGCTGTGGCCCTTTAACAGCACGACCAGCATTCCCTTCTTTTTGGCAGCCTAGGAGGAAGTGACAGCAGGTCACTACCTTTCACAGCGACCAGAGCCGCGCAGAGAGAGCAAAGAGGAGGGGGGCACATAGCAGAGCAGCAGAAGACAGAGAAGAGGAGGGGGCTGGGCCAGGAGAGCCAGCCCCTAACTCCTATACCTAAGCCAGCTCACTGGCCTCCGGGAAAGCCACCAGAACTACATAGGTAGGAAACCAAAGGGTGACTACAAAAGGGTAAATTTTGACCTACATTTATATATGTATGTCTGTCAGCGTGTATGTGTGTCAGTGTGCGTATCTGTATTTTCTGTCAGTGTGTGTGCGTGTATCTGTGTATTTGTGCATCTGCATATGCTTCAGTGTGTGTGACAGTGTATGTGTATATGTGCATACATTTCAGCATTCAAATGCCAACACTAATACACTGCTGCATTAGAACTACAATACTACATACAAACACAATCCTGCATTCAAACGCCAACACTACATACAAACAAACCTCTGTATTAAACACCAAAATCAAATATTTGGAAACCAAGACTACACATAAATGCATACTTGCATTCCAATGCCAACACTACATATACACCCCTACATTCACAAACACTCCATATAAAAACATGCTTACATTCAAACACACAAACATTGCTCAGGAGTTTAGAGAAATACCCCTCTCTGTCTCAGATTGTTTACTTTACGCTGAAGGAAACAGGGTGAATTGTTAGTGTAGGACTCCCCTTAAAGGTTTGCCTTGACGTGGCAGGTGAGCTTCCACCTCACGGCCATTAGAGTGGAATTAAAAACCTGCAGTTATGTAATTATGAATATGGATTTGGGATATTGCACTATTAACTTTTTTCTTTGGTTTTCATTGTATTGGGGCTGATGTATACTGTGGTCATTGCTGCTACCCAGGAGTAGAGGGATTTTGAGCGCAACACTTGCCTTTGAATATTTCTACATACAACTCTGCAAGCATGGGAAAATGGTAGTTCCCCAGCTGTCAAAGCATTGTGAGAAATTTACGACAGATGGTGATCTATCTTATGGCCACCATTGTGATAGGGGGGCAAAAAATCCTGTGGCACCAGCGTCCCCTGTACGTTACTTCCACAACTGATCCTACAAAACAATGTTTAGATGGTACACCACACCTGTTAAATTGTATCATATGCGAAAAACTCAGACAGATTTATGGGCTATTTGAGACTAGGGGAACGTATAGCCACATGTGTAGGAGTTGCCCACAGGTGACTGTATTTTGGAGGAAGGTATGCGACCTCGCTTCCCAGATTGTTCATAAACATATAGACCTAGATACATGGGTTATTCTATTATCCAAGCCTATAGTAGATAGCTGTACGAATCTCCACAAACCCATCCTAGTGATCAGAAGGGCACTCGTCCAGCATCCCTCCATAGCAACAGTACTACTACAACGTAAATATACCTATTTAATGGATAAAGTAACTTCTCAATGCCGGGGGTACATGAAGACCTTCACAAAAGGTATGGGAGCTCTGGGAAACTTATTTCAAGATTGGCTGAGGTTAAAGGAAAGACTGGTGGTTTGTGGTTCAGGTGCAATAATTCTTGATTCGGGGTTAATGAATAACGTCGTTTAAATGCAACTTTTAAAATACATAGTAAATATAGGCTTTGGAAAAAAAATACATCTAAGTTCTGCCTTCATACATTTCCCCAGCTCTGGTTGTATGGTTTAAAAACGATAATCACTAAGTCATAATGACTCGGTCATAAAACGAATTGCTCGGTAAAGGAGGGTGCGCTATGGAGCATGAGCACCAGTGCAGGTATATGTTGGGGGAAATTTCCCCAAACATAGACAAGCGCAGCAGAGCAGGGACTCATTCAAATCTATGTTCAGGGAAAAATTCCCCAAACATAGATTAGATGGATTCCTTGCTCTGGTGCATTTTTTTATGTTCGGGAGAAATTTACCCGAATGTACACAAGCGCACCAGAGCAGGGAATCCCTCTAATCTATGTTCAGGGAAAATCCCTGAACATAGACCAGTTCTCTAATGTGGGGAATCCCTATGCTAGAGAGCTGGTCGTAAGGAACTCCTGTATCAGTCTGTACTTTCAAATATCCATTTCTGATTAATAGCCTTTTTGCCTTCTCTAAGTAAAACAGGCTAAGAACAGATTTTCTATACAACAAGCAACTACAATGATGTCTATTACAATCAAAAAACTAACATTTATTATATAAAACTCTCACAGTCCCAACCTAACTCATGCATCCTGAATTAGTTGTTGACTCTACAGAGGCAGACACACACATAACAAAATGTAGGAAATGTAAAGAGGATGTATGCAGTTCTTAATGTTCCTTTAAAAGTGAATTAGATGCATCTTTAACACTTTTGTATGGGCGGAACTGAAAATATCTTGGTTTGGAAAACCTAGTTCTTAATATAGTTTTACAGTGTGGTTTAGCAACTGCTGCCAAGAGCTAAACAGAGTTTGCATGGAAAATTACTATTTTGCTTCTGACATTTTACTTACTTAGGCACACATCAGCAGACATACAGCCCAATCGGTATCACAGGAAAATGTAAGTTCCTTTAAGTGTACAACACAAGCAATTTTTTACTTTACATAAATCACCCTGAAATACATTGAATACAACATATACAGGGTCAGACTGGCCCTACGGGAAATTTCCAGGTGGGCCGCGGCACCTGGGGCCAAGCACACAGCCCTTACCCTGGCTAATTTCATTTAAATATTTCCCCCTCGGACTGTGCCAGCCTGTGTCAGTCCGAGGGGAGAAAAGAGCTGGTGCGGCAGGAGGGAGGGAGACCTGTCAGTCTTCCTTCACCATTTACAGCAATTTCGGCTGCCACCGCATGAAAGTCCCGCCCCAAATGGAAGCTCCACCTCCAGTGGGCGTGTGTGTGTGCCTGCTAGTGAGTGAGCTTCTGTGTGTGTCTGCTAGGGAGTGAGCTTGCGTGTTTGTGTGTGTGTGCCTGCAAGTGAGTGAGCTTGCATGTGTGTGTGCGCCTGCTAGTGAGTGAGCATGTGTGTGCACTTGTGTGTCTGCGTGTGTCATTGGTTATAGCTCTATTAATCGGTGCATACCAATCATGAATTCTGTCAGATTGTTTTGGAACAGTTTGATAAAGCCTGGGGTTCTCCACTGCATATACAACCAGATCCCTCTAAGGCGAGATTTTAGAAGCATATCATCATATCCGTTCCATTGTAGGTGTGGCCTTGTGCCAATGACTCGTTCGCAGGGAAAAGTAAAGGCTGGCCACAGAATATCTAGACCATGTTTATTACAAACTGCTCAGAATCACAAGATGCTAGTGAGTGAGCGTGTGTGTGTCTGGTAGTGAGTGAGCTTGCGTGTGTGTGTGTGCCTGCTAGTGAGAGAGCGTGCATGTGTGTGTGTGTGTGTTGGTGAGCGAGTGTGTGTGTTCTGTCAAAATATGGAGATCTCACTCACCACACCGCTGTTTCAGCACTGCCATTTCCTCAGTTATGTGGGTGTTACTCTTCATGTAACACACACCTCCTGTCTAGTGCTCTACCTCCTCCCTTATTTAATTGACCATTCTTGGGAGCAAATATTTTCAGACTTAACTGTGTCTATTTGTTCTTCCTCACATCATGCTATGGCCATAGTGATGTCATATTCTGGCTCCCGGCATCACCACAGAGGTTGGACGATGAGCAGTGAGAAAGAGCAACAGCATCAGCGCTCCCTCGCAGCCCATGCTCAGCCCTCCCCTGGACACACTGCATTTCAGCAGAGTACACATCTGCTGTTCAAATAAGCAGGTGGCTACTGTGCCTTAGTGAACAACTGGCTGCCTCCTGGGGGCCTTGATAGGCAGAACACAGGGGACCGGTTGCTCTCGCAACCTTAGTGACCAATATAGTTCCGCCACTAGCTTCACCCTAGGTGGTTGTGTGCCAGCCCTGTGTGCTGCACACTACATCTTGGTGTGTAACCAAAGAAATGGTAAAGAACCACTTTTTTTGGGGGGGGGGAGGTGGATACCGTAAAAAAAAAAAAAAAAAAAAGCTTAACTATTGGCTAGTGCCATGCAATAATCATCCCACTGGTTGATTATTGCACAAATGTAACATTTCTACTTCTAACCCCTACTTTACAGTAAAATAAACTATGGTTTTCATGGTACATCTCAGCCTCACATTATTAATACAGACTTAACACTTTGTCATTGTCAGCGTAAATTACTTCTAATTTGAATGACATTGATTGGCTTACAGCACTGAGTTGACCAACCCTGGTTCTCCAAGCCAATCACCATCACCTTGGTTGGATAAAATTGACCCCGCTAATGTAGACGTGTTATTTATCTATTATTAATGCAGCTGAAATAGGGGCGGTCCTGGGCACCAGGAAAACTTTCAGTTTATGTCAAACCATTTTTAAACAGTTTGATATTACAGCAAACTACAGGGCTAGTAGACATCAAGCAGTATCACCTTTGGACACCAGATGCCAGCATGCCAACTACAGACATCCACTATGCAGAGAACTGATATTATCCACCCGGAGCCCTTGTTGCCAGGTGACTAATGATGCCTCATTGATGCAGCAAAGCAGCTAAACTCTATATGTGTAGTGTTTTATAGTAAAATACTGCACAATCAAACTCCAGACACTATGGCCACTTCAAATAACTAAAGTGGTAATGGGGGTGCTTATATTAAGCCTTTAAGATGTCCTATTTAAACTTGAGTTACCATCAGAATAATGCTGACTACAAACAAAATAAGTTACTAATAAAATACTAAATATTGTAACATTCATATAGTGATACATTTTAGAAAAAATAAAAAATAAACTACAGGAAAATCCATGGTAGTGCTTATTCATTTAAAACAAAAAACTACTGTACAATTGAAACATGCTATAACTACGAATGCATTGTACACACAAACAGTGTATTTGTGAAATCATGCATCTTACATACATTACAAAGTTGCACAAATATATTGAAAGAGCTCGCTTGTTACAGTCTCCCCTGCGGCAGAAAATCAAGTGGTATCATGCTATTTTAAGAGGGAAAATTTTGATAATTATAACCTAACCTGGTCATATAAAACGGGCTACCAGGAAACTAGCTCTCAATGTATCAAACAGAATCATCACATTGGAAATAAATGAAAATCCACATTATTAAGGACTGATTCTCATACGTCTTTGAGTTTTTTTCCCCAAATACCATATTCAATCTAAGGTACGTTTCAGTCAACCCCAACTTATTTTGCCACACCAGCTTGTTTCAGTTGGTTATACGTCACCCTTTTGGGTACTTGTTGCAATTATAAAGTGCCAGCAACACATGAATGGAGTGCTAATCTTGTCAAGGAAAAAGTAAATACTGCCGCAGTGACGATCAAAGGGTTAAATCGAACATCACTTTACCGACCGAATCTATGTATCAGTGTGGCATTCCACGTCTGCTGGTAACATTCTAATTGCTGACACACATTAATAGTCCGAGATTGAATATTACAAACAAATATATATAGCTACCCAGTTGGATTCAAACTTCAAGGCTTCCTGTGTGAGCAGCTTCCAGCCGATGATGGGTGTTACCCTAAACCTCCACCTCCCTCCTACACACCCTCCATGATCAATTATCCGTCTGGGTTTAGTAAGTTTCACGTGAGTTTGTGTCCTCTGCTGCTGGTTTTACAGTGTAAATGAAAACAAACGGCATTTTAATTCATGTGTGCCTCTCAAATCGGGGGTTTAGTTAAATCTTAACAATGAAGGTGGAGTCTAGCATTAAATCAACACAAAGACGGTGAGTTGGACATAAATAGCCCTAAAATATTGAATATTTAGTCAATAAGTAATGTAGGAAGTACTTTCTACTACCATTCAAACCATTTCTCAGACCATCTCGGGTCCTATATAATACTAACAGCATACCCCACAAGTATCCCTATTTAGGAGGGAAAGTCCCTGCTTTGAGCCCAAATCACTCTGTTCTTCTTTTCTATACTAATATCCCTCTTTTCCAGGAGCTCCATAGTGTTAGTGTGCCCGGTAGTAAAACAGAGCTCCACACTAACCGTAATGTGTCTTTAAACTACAATAAAGGTGTTTTGAAATCACGATACATTGTTCTTGTTCAAAATGACATTTTAGTGGGATATATTATTAGGAAGTAAATTCAGTTTTGCAGAACTGCCCTGCCCTTGACCATACCCTATACTCACACTCCTAAAATTAAAATGTCCTCTTTGTTCATTTGGAAAGTTGGGAGATATGTAGAATAGTGTTGTATGTTAGTTTATGCAATTCATGTTCCATCCTAGGAAATAAGTACATTATAGATCTTCTTAAAGGATCACTACAATGTCAGGAAAACAACCCCCTCCCTCACCATTACATATTTATAAGACATATTTATAAGACATATTATAAGAATAGTGCTGGTATGTTTGGAAATACAGATTTATATAATACCCTTAGACTGAGACATTAAAGATCTGCATGTTGATAACATCTGTGTTCAGCAAAAAAAAAAAAAATATATATATATATATATATATATATATATATATATATATATTTTTTTTTTTTTTACTGTGGGAAACAAAGCCATGCATACACAGGGTTCAGAGTTGGGAGGGAAGAGCCTATCTATATTAACATATCCCCTTTTTCTACCACAGTGGTGACTACTTTGTTTTTTTTTTTTTGTTGTTTTTTATTTACCATACCCTTTGCATTTTGTTTAAATCTTTTCTCATTTCAGATTAGATTTTTTTAGTGTCTTTTTTTTTTTTTTCTTTTTAATAATGGATAATTCCTGCTAATTCATACAATACTATGTTGTAACCTCCCAGTTGTGACTTATATAATGCGAAATTGAGAAATATCTAATAAAACTTGTTTGAAAACCAATTACTTTTAATTATATATGTGGACATCTAAATAGAATATTTTTTTTTTTTTTTTTTACTTTGAATAAAGCCATCCCATGTGATAAAATTTACCATCCCCTTTTTTGTCTCTTTATAAATAAATAGCTCTGCTCTTTAACTAATTTTAAAAACTAGATTGTTTTAAAGGTGTCATTCCTCTAGAAATTATGTACAATTATAGACAGAAAGAGAAGATGGAGATGACCAGTCCCAGTAAAGAGGTAAGTAGTGTAGATTTCATTATTTAGTTTAAAGGACCACTCTAGGCACCCAGACCACTTCAGCTTAATAAAGTGGTCTGGGTGACAGGTCCAGCTAGGGTTAACCCATTTTTTTATAAACATAGCAGTTTCAGAGAAACTGCTATGTTTATAAATGGGTTAAGCCTTCCCCCAAAGCCTCTAGTGGCTGTCTCATTGACAGCCGCTAGAGGCGCTTGCGTGATTCTCACTGTGAAAATCACAGTGAGAGCACGCAAGCGCCTCTAGCGTGCGCATTCAGCCGACGGGGAGGAACGGAGGAGGATCGGAGGCAGAGAGCTCCCTGCCCAGCACTGGAAAAAGGTTAGTTTTACCCCTTTTCCCCTTTCCAGAGCCGGGTGGGAGGGGGTCCCTGAGGGTGGGGGCACCCTCAGGGCACTATATTGTTTTTAATGGAAAAAAAAATATCCAGGCACACCTGAGGTTTCTTCTAAAAGGCAGTTTTTATTTAAAACAGGGAAGTGGAGACAACGTTTTGGCTCGTCTCTGAGCCTTTTCAAGACTTGATAAAGGCTCAGAGGAGCGGAAATATTGCAATACAAATTATATTTGTAACACAAAATGGAGAAATAAAGTAAACAGAGTGCAGGCCAGGAGTCTGGATACAAGTCAAGGGCTCATGAGCTGCACCACTGTAACCACCTAATAGGGAGCTCCAATGAGGGGGTAACCCTCCAAAATATGTGGGTAATAGGAGAAGGTGATGTGTAGAGTCCCACAAGGGGAAACCAATATCAGGAGAGCTCCACTGTATACGAAATGAGGAAGGGAGGCCCTACCTTTAATCAATCTAAGGATAAAAAGGGATATGCAAACAAAAAGTATAACGTGGGGAAAAAAAGGGAGATCTACTAAATGGTGCCCAGCGGATCAATTGTCTGGAGTACTAGCTAGCATCTAAATTCCAGTTCCCCTCATGTCCGACTGACAGGAAGGTAGTATAAACTAGGTTAGGGAGAGAGAAGAGGCACAGGGTCCCCAGAGAGCAAGGGACCGGGTAATCAGGTCTAAACGCAGATGAAAAGCCTCACAAATTGTATTTGTAGTCCTCAACGAGGGTACTACTGTCTTTTGGTAAAATGCAGTTACCAGTTATATTCACTAAAGCTTGAATTATCGTGTATTTACATTTTTTGGATAAAACAGCCAAACTGAAAGCATAGCTGACTGGGAGAATTTTTTGGCTATTCTTGCCTCAATCTGAAATTTACTTTTAATTCACTCTCAATTCATGACATTTTACTGAATAACCCTGTATAATTCTTTGTAAAACCCAGAGCAAAATGGTGCAAATATCCTGTTAGAGGCCATAGATTAATTTTATCATAAAGACCCATCAGCTTCAAAGATTAAAGCAATAGTATTGTTTATGACAGTTTTCCTATTACATACCTAGTCGAAAATAACTCCGTTAAGTTAAGCCTCTGCAGATGCATAATTTCTGCTTTCCGTTACTTGCTAGAAATTATACTCCAAAACATAAAGGCCTTGATTCAGGGCTTCAGTGTGCTGCCACTGTATCATCCAAACTAGCTGCACTTTCTTACACATTGTGTGATACATGTCCTTTTACTCACATATTGCTGGAAAAACTGGAAGCCATTAACGCCATGCACCCCCATTAGATACCAAATGATAACTGATATTGAATAAATAATTATCTAGAGCACAGGAGTGGCATGTCGAAAAATTAGTATACAAATTCTTTATTTACTCCTCATGCAAATTATGACAGGCAAGAGAGTGACAAAAACATGAACATTTTCCATGTAAGAAAGAAGGTTATTCTAACCCCTAAACTCAAAGAAAATCATAGTTTAAAAAAACCCACAAAAAAACAAACAGAAAACACAAGGGAGGGAAACACCTCAGTGGGTGAGCCCAAAATATGGTAGGATTTCAGAACACATTTATTGTACATCACCACACAAGACCATGTCTAGAAATGGATGATGGATAAGAGCTCAACTTATTCTGCCATTTGTTCGTAAAAACAGATAAGAATAACACGATTCGCCACTTTGGGCAAATATGAGAGAATTTATCATTATTCTGTAATTTATTTATTTTTAAAAAAATTTCATATTGTTTTTGACGCCTATTTTGATTTTAGATCTATTTAACAATAGACTCTGTTAAGGAAGAATGTTTGACATAATTCAGTATTTTATTCCTGGTTTTGATTATCTAGCCTCCATAACAGGTGAAGTGTCACAAATCTCCTATGTCATTCAAATGTACAGCACTTGTGTTTGTCATGGAAACATTTCTCATTTATTGTGTAGACTATGCAGAGTACTTGCAAAAACAAACAAAACACTTCAAGCGGTGTGTTAAAATATTGTTTATCTAAGGCTTCCTGGCAGTGGCGTACACACAACCCATGGGGCCCCAGTGCAAAAGCTGATCCTTGCCCCCCCCCACCGCGAGCTTACTCTGCGCTGGCTGGGACTGCAACACATGGCGGCAGGCACCCCTGCAACCGCGGTATGTACGCCAGTGCATGCAGATACACATACACTTAAAAGACCACTACAGACACCCAGATCACATCAGCTCAATGAAGTGGTCTGGGTGCCAGTTCCCTCTAGTTTTAACCCTGCAGCTGAAAACATAGCAGTTGTTTCACTGAGGGTTAATCCAGCCTCATTGACAGCCGCTAGAGGAGCTTCTGCGATTCTCACTGTGAAAATCACAGTGAGAAGACGCTGAACGTCCATAGGAAAGCATTGAGTAATGCTTTCCTATGGGTGGTTTGAATGCGCGCGGCTCTTGCCACGCCTGCGCATTCGGAGCTGAGAGGCAGATCGGGACGGAAAGATCCCCAGCACCAAGGGAGTCCAGCGCTTGAGAAAGGTAAGTTTTTAAGACACACACACTCATGAACAGACACATACACACTAGCTAACAGACACACACATTTACTGACAGACACACACTCAGTGACAGACATACATACACACTCACTAACAGACGCACACACTAACACACACACACACTTTTTTTATTTTTTAAATTGAATCCCCCCAGCCTCCCTACCTTTGGAAGTGCTGTGGGGATTCCTGCTGTCCTGACGTCATCTTCCGGCTCTGGTATCACTGCGGTGCGCGAGGGAGCTGAAGAGGGAGCACACAGGGGAGAGTGCTCCCTCGCGCGCGCGCCAGCCTGCCCACCGGGTGACACCAGGGCCAGCCTCGGGGGGCCCCCAGGAGAAGAGGCTGGCCACAGTGGTACATACAGGGTCGCAGGGCGGCCGGGCCCCCTGGTGGGCTGGGCCCGGTTGCAACCGCGACCCCTACAACCCTGGTATGTACGCCACTGCTTCCTGGTCTGAACTATTGTAACATTTGGGCCTGCATGTTTTCAAGTTGTCTTCCA